CCGTATACATCCATAAAATGAGATCGCTTCCAGTACAAAACTTTGAAACCCTATACATCAATTGCACTACATATCCAGCTAGTGAAAACGAACGCTCTTAGAAGCAGTGGTTATGTCGGGGTGTAGGAACAAACAACTGGCTCGACTGTCAATGGTCATGCGTCTCTTTTTAACAAATAATAATAACTATAATAATAATATCTTACTTTCTCTTTTTTATGTGTTGCAGGGAAGTCAATCAAGGAACGTCCTTGTTCTAGCCGGAGTAAATTCGTTCGCAAAAAGGTGTGGATCGATCGTTTACCCCCCAGTCTTCACAAGGGTTTCCCACTATCTCAAGTGGATTCGCCAGGTAACTCTTATGAACTAGAGACGGCACAGGTCGTGTTTGCGGTTTAAGTCTATTCTTACCTTGTCTACCGCCTGCATGACACCTAATTTTAATCATGCAGCTAATGATGCCGGCCGCCGCTTTGACTGACTGATACACAATTGCAAACTATAACTAAATCTTAAATTTCTTCCCTGGAAAAAATGCAACATAAAAAGGAGCAGAATTTTGTACAATTATTATCAGTATGTGCTGAGAATAAATTGTCATCTGGAATATGTTCAAAGTGAGCAAATTTTTGAGAAAACATGTCGTTCTTTAAAGAAGAAGGATTTTGTTGATAGCCGTAAGCATCGAATTTGTTCTTTTCACTTATCTTTTTTTAACTTTACAGGAAGTAAAAATAGAAGAAGGGATTAAGGTAGAATACGGGGACAAATGTCCAGTTTTTTCCTGCTTTTCCGCTTTCATTATTCATAATTCAGTACCGAAATACGATTTCAGTACCAAATAAAAAAAACTCAATTTTTATATTTATCTTTCGAAAGAGTGCTCGTTATGTATGTGTTGGCCATAAACATTTAATGGCCTTTTTTTTAATAAATTATCTTTACTATTTATTATGGTCATCCATTTTTCAGCTTGTTCACTCCCTTCGGGGCCGCGACATTTGACTAAGAGGTTTCCAATATTGCGTCCATTCACTGTTTATGACCAAATCAATATTTTCTCACAGTTTTTATGAAACGGCTGAGACATCGTTAAGCGGTTATGTTTGTATGAGTCGTAGCAAATAAAATCAATAACACTTTCTCAAGCGGTCGTGTCACAAACGTATAATGTGAAAAAAGTAAAAGTTGATCAAAGGAGGTTGAGCAAATGCTGAATTTAAAAATTTCTTGTCACATTAACACACTGACACGCTCTTTTCATCCGACTAAATTTAATTAAGGTCTACACGAACGTCCATCCGCGCCGTCATACGATGAAATGGTAAAATAACATTCTATATCATATCTATAATATAAATCAGTAGAGTGATGCCAGTGTAAGAGAATGTACGGAGCAAAGGCTAATAGTATTTTCTTCAATTATCAATAACAGCGGTGATTTTGTGTCGCTATTTATATAACTTAACAACATATTACATGATAGTTGAGTTCCACCGAGCTTACGTGTTAGTGTGGTATGATAATATGTATTCTGATATGTCAACAGGCTGTCATGATCGCGTTCTTTTATATTGTTAACCTTGTCACAAAAACGGGCATACCCAGTAGATTAAGCGAGACAGATCACATTGTTGACTGCATTTAAGTTATCCTTGTATTGCATTTTTGTGATATTTATTACAACTAGCTATCATGAACTATTTTATATGTCACCTTCTTTCATTTATACGTTTCGAAAGCAGCCGTAGCAATCTTCTTCGACCACAAACTGGATCATAACAAGTTTTTGAAGTCTTCTTTTTTCTCCCGGTATCGTCAGGTTGCGCGTTTGTCGTGTTTACGTCGTTTCTCAACACATGCCGAATCAAAATCAAAGGAAGAGAAAAGACTAAAAGTAAGCCTCTTTGTTCTCTCTAATTTTATTCATGTTACATAACGTCCTCAGGTTATTCTCGATATCTATCGGGCCCCTGCGAATACGCCCACGTAACACCTATAAATAGAGAGGCCGGGGAAACGGCGAGTCCGTATACGCAAAGCATATGCGTGTGCCTATGTAGACGTAGTGCGTTTTTAAATAGTTGTTACAACAGCCTAAAGGACGAACAAAGCTTGACAAAGCGGTCGGGAAATGAAAAAGCTCAACTGCAAATGCGCGCCCTTCGTCGGACTCGTGGTGGTCCTTATAAAGTAATCAACACATACACGCAGCACCTTGAGTGCACGTAATTCTGCTGTGGTTAGGAGAAAATATCGGTTGCACTCTTCAGAAAGGTCTTATTCATGGCTTTGGGTATTTTAGTTGCCAGAACCGGAGTGAGCGCTAACGGCGGGGGAAGGGGGCAAATATATCATTTACATACTTATAGTGCAATCGATGTTGATGATAGATTGTGTTCGAATCTCATATAATAGAAAAATACGATCCGTAATATTTCCTCTACTATACTTTCGGGTGAGCAATTTTTGAGACGTGTACACGTTAGCACGGTGTTAGCAAGCACATTATGTGCAATCTGCTCAAAGCTGATACTCTTTAAATGCAACTTTAAAAAAACGTTGAAAAGTGATCGCAAAAGCTATTTTCTCAAAAAATTCTTTCGGAAATTTCTTAAAAACACACAAATATCCATATGGTGATCTAAATGATCGTTACTGATAACTCATTGCACAACAAATACATTAATTGACAGACAATGCATCATTGCCGCATCATCCTCTAACCGTTCTCAGCGTTATTATGCTAAATGACCCTGCATTTAGGTGTTCGCTGATCAGACAGTTTATAGGAGTTTTCAGAAAATCGCTTATAATTTAAATTATTATATGCGCCATTGGAATCACTTTTGTTGACTGAAACAACCAGCCTGTATCTGTGCTTTTGAGATTGGCGGAAACCTTAGAAAATGGTACAACAACGCAATTACTTAATTTTAGTTAAAGTTCATTTCAATGCCGTAACTGCCATTTTTTACAAGCTTGCATAAAACAAACTACAGATTCTATAGAAAATTATACATTATTTCTTGCACAACTCTACAATAGACATTGTAAATAAACCTCGACGGACTTGTTCGCATTGTTTAGTGTCACTCACATTGTACCTACAGAACCTGATAACTTTATAGCATAATCATCTTAGTGACCTAATTAGAAAAAGAAATAAATGTGTGGTTTTTGAAGATAATGTTGATAAGGCATATTATGAAGTTCAATATAAAAATTTTGGTTTGATTAATATGAAAAGTAATGCGTGCGTGTGTGTTTTTCCTTTAAAGTGACCCATGTAGCATCAGTTTGGTCGATTTTGTGTTAGCGTATATTGTCCGTTTGATTCTGATGACTGGTTGAATTTTTTTTATTTTAATAACGCGAAAACTCTTTTTTTTTCCCATAAACTATTACGCTAATGAGAGAAGTGAGAACTACATTATTTCGAAGAGTAAATCGTCATTAACTAAGTCGTGTCTTTTTTTTTGAGGAAATTAGTCAAATTTGATAAACTCTATTTATATAATAATTAAATTTATGGTTTTAGTGGCTTGATCCACTCGATTTCGGCGTGCTCATTGATAATAATACCCACAAGATGCATAATCTGAGGGCAATATATTGAACCTGAAGCTTTAATTTCGCTTAAAACAATTTTGAAATATTTTCATCCAAATATGACATGTTTTGTCAGATAATATCAATAAAATGGAACGTTCACCGAAAATTAGTACATTTTGTCTAAAGCGTATTGGTATTGATCTAGAGTTTGTTCTACTTTAAATAAATAACACAAGCTTACCGAGTGACATCAGGTGTTTTGTCATTTGACAAGCCCGATACTAATTCTTATGGCAGGATTTGCAGCGCTTTGGTGTAAAGGAAATGGTAAAAAAACCTGCAAGAGCCGTACTTGAAATATAAAATATCGGCTTTTAAAATAAAAAATGCTGTATATTTTAAGCTGCAAGGTAACAAATCAACTACTTCTACAAAAAAAAGGCTCGAAATCTTCAGTTGATCTGGTAGAGATGTGATGCTATTTAAAAAAACTGCTGTGTATACAACTATGCTAGATGTAATTAAAGAGCTTTTGACTTATTTATTCTATGAGGTGAAAAAGCTGAAGATTTGCTTTATTGATTCTTTACATCGTTTCGGTCACTGACAGAAGTCTACTAAACATTCAGTCTACAGGGGCAGACACGCATCGCTCTGTAGCCATTACATTTCTTCGTTTCTCTAAAACGCAAATTAGTAGTATCAGAACACTGTAGAGCGTACATGAACTAACTTTTTCATTTCTATGCACGTACATGCCACAAACATTTCGCCGTGTCTCTTCAAAAATATAACCCTTGTTTCCTCAAACATTATCAGCTGTGTTATGCACCACCATACGGATTATAAAAAAGAAGTTCGACGCCCGACGAACAAAACAACATTCGTAAACTGAGTTACCAGACTCCCAAACCCAATATTTAACATATGATGATATATATTGAATTAGTAAGCCTACTTTCATTAAATTTATAATGGCGTTACTTATTGGGTAATGAAAATGGGGAACAGCTCTACCATTGAACTATCAATTAATAACCTCAGTTACAAATATTGATCAATAAGAAAAATGTCTGTCTGCATAAATCAAGATATGTGTCACAAAAAATTCTCGTAACAATTACTTGATAAGGAGAGCAAGTTTGAATTATCTGCACAGGGAGAAATAATATAACAAAGAAAACGAAAACGGTATGAAAATTGGGCCTAACAAACAGCACAGTTGATTACTGTTTTAATCACACGTTTATCTTTTTAACACTCGTCGTATTATTCCGTGATACTCATTAGGTTTATGATTCCAGAGCTATTCTGAATGGTGACGTTTTAATCTCATCTTCTCAATTCCACATAAATTGGAGTGCACAAGAAGCTCAATTGAATTTGCCGCTCTAAATATTTGAATATTTGCACCTGTTAGGTGCACTAATAATAAGATCTACATATTTTAGTGAATAAAAGAAATTATTTTTATTTGTTTCTCATTCCATATTTCGTTCTCTCTTTTCAAAATAGATAGCTTACAGGATAAATGAAACCGCTTCCTTTTAGGCAGCTCTACAGTTGCTTTTTGTCAAGAGGCCCACTATGGTGAAGCGTCTATTGATGTATTTAATCCTTGCGCAGGTCCGCGAAAACCTCCTCGACACCATCCTTAGTGATTATCATAATGTGCGCGCTATCTCCACATTGGGAATCTCGCTCAGCAGCAGAGATAAAAACATCCTTGATCAAAGCGATCGCCTGATCCTTACTCAAAGGCGCCTTGTCGGGGTTTTCCTGATTTTTCTTGCCTACCTAATGGGAAAATGATTAGCATCAAACGTTGTTGACATCAGTATTTTTTTATCGTTAGCTTAGAATTAACAACTGACTGATATTTTTCGATTTCCGATATATATATATATATTCCATTTTATATTTTCACTATCCAATATGAGTAGATTGATAAAAATTCATATAAATTAGAAATTTGACAACGAAAGGAGATAAAAATTTTACAAAATAAACCTTACTATTATTCAAGCGGATTAAAATAGTACTTTATCGTGACAGACTTACAATGCTATCGAGTAGTGGCATAATTAAAGCAGATGAACTGCCCCCTGAAGCATATTCTAACGTCTCCATATGACCAACAGGATCGTAGGCGTACAGAGCCCCTTTACCCTTCTCGTCTAACCCAGCCAGCATATTCCATACGTAATAAGGAAAGAAGCGCCTGCAAGTTTTTATTTATTCACAAATACAGTTCATTGATCCACAGTATAAATGGAAGCCTATGCTAAATACTTCTCGATACTGTCTGTTAAACTTATATTTCAAACCCGCATTTCAAGACAGGCATGATTGGTTGTAGTGTGTCGTAATCACTAGATAAATACTAATAGTAAATTAGCTCCCAACTAAATTTTAAAAACCGTAAAAAATATTTCTTGTCTAATTGAAATTGATTGGTTAAAAGTATGTTCTATCTCACCCGTGACATTCAAAGCCACACACATGCTAGTTTACGGTACAGAAAAAGTTTTCTCAAGCAATTAAAGGTTCTCGCCGTCCCAATGACGGCGCAAACAGTAGTCGTAACGACAAGGAAAGACCTTTTCAAAATCGACAAACCTTCCGTAGAGCATCGTCATACAACACTGCGCTACAGCCAACGTGTTCATATCCTGGTCGTGCTCATAGTTGTACATCCTTAGCCTGGCCTCTAGGTACTTGCTAAATGTTAGCGAATCGCACCAACATCCGGCTGATGCCAATACAGCGTTGTTCGTACTACCCCAAATGAAATGTAGATGATAAAAACATTATTCATATCTTCAATTACAGCAGACAAATACTTTGTCATTTCGCGACAATTTGAAGTGTATATTATGGTATTGTGATAACTACTCCAATGATAATGATGATTCATATTAGTCGACAGACCTTCAACACTTATCTTACTAAAATAAGTATACAATGTCATGATAAAAAAAGCCTCTAAACGGTTAGTATATCTATATAATATCTCCTATAGCTTTAAGTGGATGCGGCAGAAAAGTCATATTTCACGCCCAAATTGTATTTCCAACTGATTTTATGGTCTGGTTTTTTTAACACCGAAGATAACTTACAGCTTGAAGAGTCTCGTCTGCTTTCTTGTGAGTACAGTAGAACCACTGCAAAGACGAGTATCGCTGGCAATAATGGCATAATCTTCGCCAGCAATCGCTGCCAGTGAACTGAAAAAGAAACAAGAACGATACCAAAGACATTCATACGACGTCCGCAAGGACCAGCTTCTTCACAATGGACACTTCAGTTTATAATAATATAATAACAGTAATATGCCCAACGGCAGGGAAATAAACGGAAATATTTTTTTGGCTATATATAAATAAAACGCGAACAGGAAAAGCACACTGCATGGTTTTGAATAAAGCTGGATTGACCCATTTCAATTGCTTGGCAGATGTCAACATATTCGGCCGTTGTTTATACCAAATTGATCAGCTCTCAATTAGCAAATACTTGATTAAAAGTATTTCTCAATGAAAAAGTACTAAACAATAATTTTCTCCTGCCTACCTGATAAAATTTATATTTTTAAATGAAAAAAAATTAACGAAATCATTTATTGATCTTCTCGAAGCCAACATGTGTATATATACCGAGTGTGTTACTTGATAATAGCGGTCAAAGCTAGTGGCCTTTACTTGAAAGCTACTCGGTAGAAACCCATTTGTAAATCATGAGTGAATTCACGATGTTTATTGTGGTTGAGTGACGTCTGTGCGTGGACGTGATTAGCGAACGACAAAATTAATTTAATTCTGTACGACATGCTGACGCATTTTCAACATTGTAAATAGGGATTCTCAAAAGCCTTTTTGGCAACCAGCGTTACAAGTCCTTCTTTACCTCGTCGCATTGTCCTAATGCCTCCACAAAGATACACTTTATGATTAGAAAATTAAATTGCTCCAAATCATACACATATCTTGAAATCGCTTTAGCCTAGCATCATATGAGAAATCTTGTAAATACCGCTTTGATCTTTAGGTTTTTTCCGCAGTAAATAGATTAGATCTTATTTCCAGAGCGACATTGGTAGCTCAAAGGCGTGGATTAATCAACTTATAAGAACTTTCTACCTAAAAACGCAGATTAGTATTATTGAGCCTCGCGACTCTGTAATTGATAATGAATAGTGAAACAAAGATTGTTCTTGTATGAAGGCAATCGCGTATGAATAAAGTGTGTGCGTGAAAAGCACATAAGATGTCAGCTAAGGGTACAATACTCAAACAGGCATGATAAACTCTCTGAATAAATATATGATATCTATATTTTCTATTTTTGTAATTGACGCAATAAGGTTTTCCTGAGAAAAAAAGTATTGTCTGCGTACTTATGGGGATAACCTGTTGATAAATATACGATTATTGTTATAAGTTGTCCGCAAAAGGACCATTATGAGATTGTAGGAAAGACAGATCTACCAGACGTAAAATTCTCGCTCATTTCCTATTAACGTACTTCACGTGATACCTTGTTATCAAACTAAACTAACAGTCAATTGCAGCTGCTCCTTCTCAACATGTTCATCAATCACCCATACAGTGTTTGCTAAAGAATGCTTGTTATTCGATATTACACCGAGACAATGCGTTTCAAGTGACGTACCCGCCATTGTCTTCATATGGATTGAAGCTGTTCATCTGGAAAGGTCGCCCTGCAGCTATTATGTGTGTTTTATCTTCTTGGTCGATAAACATTGTGCTCGCTGATCGACGGAACCACAAAACGGAAAGTGATCACTGAAAAAAGTTTCAAACAAAGAGTTTCAATTAGCTCCAGGAACTACGAATATACCATTCGTATAGACGGTGATGCGGCAAATTATACAGCCGGTTGGCCAAACAAACATTCCCGTATGTAAATAAACAGACGATAAGCAGACGCCATATCAGCCGACAAAACAAACATAACAACATTTGTTGCGCAAATGAAATCTGATTCAAACAGTTGAGACCTGCGCGCGAAACTCGCGGAGCTGCCTTTTACTATAATACCAAATCAGTACCGAATAGGCAGTTAAGCACGAAACCACAAGCTTTCAACTTGAAACAGATTATTGGAAAAGAGAAGAAAGTAATGGACGTTAACGTTAATATCCGAAACACTCGTCGTATAACGTCAATGCATACCAATGGTGCAGCCTCATATTATTCTTTAGGTAATATCAACTATTAGACTTCAAGCTAACCGGGTGGACTTTGAAACTGAATAACTTTTGAACTAAGCGCCGCTAGCAGACGGAAATTGATTGGAAAGTATTCCAGTCTTCTAGCAACTTGTAAGCCAAAACCGGTTGAGTTCATTCTAGGAGAAATTATTTTAGATAGAAGAACATAGTCTATAAAGTCTAAAAGGTCAACGCGTAGTGATCAAAATATTTTTTGCCGGAAGGCCACAGCACTGCGAGAAGTCAGCGAACATTGTTGCATATGTTAAGCAGGAAAGCCTTAAATCAAAGCGGCCTACGTGAATGGTGCAAACGATTAAGCGACTGAGATTGGAACCTTGAAAATCACCGATAAAGTGACAAGATGTCATAGCCCGAAGGGCAAGAACGCGTTTCCGCAATGAAGAAGACTTTTAACGAAAGCAGAATCTTAAATCTAAGGGCTCTACCGGCCAAAACTCGCGTTCACAAGAGTGACATATAGCGAATTACAGAGCTATAATTCAAATACTGAAAATACAAAAACTAAGTAAAAGATGGGCGTTCCGTGAATAGATTACAATCCAGTTGAAAACGCGCGGTGTATTGAATGTGCAGTATGCGTGACTTAAGTCAACAAAAAACCTTCGTGTAGCATATTGTCGCTATGGATGAGTACGGTGTTGGATAACTTCTCCATGCTTCAATTACTTCCAGGATTGAGCAAAAGAGTATTCAACGGTAATTTTAATCCGCTTATTCTCTCAATTGAAGTCTATATTATTACAAGGCCTTGTATGCCCTAAAAAGGACAACTAATGGGCAAGCGTATCGCAGCAACGATTTGTAAAAAAAATTACATATGGGAACCCAATTGTGAATTTATGGCCGTCCATGAACTGCGAGAGCAATGCCACAAGCGCTTAAAAAAAGGAAGAGTACCTTTAACAAATTACAAATCATTATTCTGGCCGAAATAGTTCAAAAGTTATTGGATTTCTAAATTCGCCGGATTTGCTCGAAACAGCCTAATAGAACTACTATATGTGTCTGCTAGTTATTATTGCTTTTATTTTCTACAAATATTCGGTGTGCTGTATTAGAAGTTTATTTACTCACACAATGCGTATTTTCAAAATTTGTTTATATAAATAATATTTTTAAATTAAGTTAATATGGTATACTTGTATTACATTTAGGTCCGTTATTGGAGGAATATTTTGCAATTGGACATGTGCGTTAGGATATTTGTACATGTGCTCAAATAAGCAAGTTCTACAATAAACAAAACCGCTTGCGTCTCACAAATTTTTTCTACGATCCTTAACGGCATACACACTTTCGGCTTTGGTTAACATCCAGTACTCACTTTCTGATCGAAATGCACATACAGTACTTTAGTAATTTATTGCTTAGTAAAGCGCACTTATATAGTTACAATTATGAGGCGAAACAATAAATCACATACGCGTCATAATTCGCAAGTGGTTACTTCCCATCCATTGAAGTAGGATGGTTCCGTATCATACCCAGATATTGTTTTCGAACTTATATGTAGCACTAGAAAAATAGAGATTATGTTAGCTGACGGGCTTGGAGATAATAATATCCTTTATCGACAGCGCCTATTTAATGAATGTTTATCACCAGAACTAGTATAGATTGAAATGTTTAAGCAAGCAGCAGTGTCAAACAGAGCAATAAACAGATTTCGAATTTAGCCATTAGTCGAAAAAAGCAACGAAGCATGGTTTTGATTCTGCCCTTTGTAATCGCGCTGCTTGTTGTAAGTACTGCGCTACAGCTGGTCTCATACATTAATGCAACAGGCAGAAAGAGCTAACAAAACTAGCCAATATGCACATTTGCTGTACGTGTTACATTATCATATGTATAACCCTAACGCGATTCGTATTGAAAACAGTGCTCAATGGTTGAATTTCATCTTATTTCCAAGGTGCTTCTCGCTTTCTGGCTGGTTTATAATAATTATAGATCTTTGGTTAATTCTCGCACCGTAGCAGTCGCATAATTCCTTTTTATACTTGGCTAAACGACGGTCCAGCTGGTGTTCCTAAGTAATTATGCATGCTGCCAGCACGCCATTTTTTCACACGACTGAATATCAATGTTTTATGAAGAATAAGGTGAAGTAAATTGTGTGTGATATGAAAAATTTTGATTTGGTGTCCCTGATCTCAAAGAATTGTTTTTTCTAGGTTACACGCTGTGCTGTAAGGCGTAGAATCGCCGCAAAGTTCTAAACTGAGTCGCCTCATTACTTCGTTAACTGCTTTGAGAATCTCTACAGGGTTATAAAGTCTTTTTCAATTTAGTCGATAAATTCAAGAACGATATCTCAATGGCCGGATCATGCGTAGCCCGGAAGAAAACCGTTTGTTTTATTCCTGCACATACACCGACACCTGAAAGGTCTCACCAAAAGGGATTTAGTATCAAAGTTTTACTGTTGGAAATTATAACGTTTGCCCTCTTCCGAATCAGCCGCACAAAAGCGCAACACCGCATGTGACACGCATGACATTACTGACTTGTCGTCTGCAAAGTGAACAGCGTGCGAGCTATATAAATCTGTGTCTTCTTGGTCATTACTCAGGTGTCGCTGTGGTACCTGTGGAGAGATCTCGAGCTTTTCAGCGATGGGCCTCCCCGCCTACGAATCAAACGTATGTTCGGCTCCATTTGCAATTGGTCTTCATCCCCACAGGATCGATCATGCGTTTGCGGATGTATTAACTATGCTATACATATACTGCAGGATTTCCAAGCAGCTAATATTGAGCGAAATATCATCACGGCATTAAAAGGAGAAATTCGTAATCGATTGGCTATATACAGCTGGATATCCGTTTATCTTTGGCGCTTAGAACTTGGACAGGGAGTTCCGCGCATAGTCACGCTAAGAAAATTATCCGGAGATGCACTGGGCATTAACGCAAGTTTCGAATATGCAGGAAATTTTCAGGTGGAGCTGATTGCCAACCTACCGGGAATTGTCGAACGAATAGGTCTGCCAACACAGTTAACAATTAAAGTAACGTTGGAGAGATTTGCCGGCTGTATACTCGTCACATTCGTTAATACCAACCCGTACCCGCATATGCGATTCAGCTTTCGCAGGATGCCGCGCTTTGTGTTACGAAAAACGTTCATTTCTCCAGAGAACGTCGAGATACAGTCGCGAATACTATCGTGGATCATTGATTTTGCGATTATCTTCGACATCCGAAGTAAGACGCTTCAACCGCTGTACAGTATGAAGGACACCTTACGACCTCGGCAGTGGCATCTCCTACAAATACCTGAAGCTGTTCATAAACAAGGCATTGTTCTGAATGTCGAAATTATTCGTGTGACAAGGGTTCTATGTCGCAACGAAAAAATATTTTGTATAGCTACAGTTGAGAACGCTCCTTGGATTCATATGGACCTTGTGGACCTCGAACCTGCATGCAGGTTCACCATCTCCATTCAGCGAAGTAACCTTTTTCCAGGTTTAGTATCAGTAGACGAAGATAATCCCAATATTGCGCTAGAAACACCCGGCTCAAGGGTAGTTATATGTTCAGTCATTCCCAACAGTGATGCAGACCGAGCAAATATTCTCGAGCGGGATGTCATTATCGAGGTCAACGGGATAACGGTGATGAATGCGCAGCATGCCGCAACATTGCTAGACAACAGTGGTAATGTGGCCGTTATAATTGTGGAACGTAAAATTGCATTTAAATGGTCCCGTACCCATTTTCGGCTACTTCCACGAGAGCGGTCTATTAGACTGTCAACACTGCAGGAAACCTGTGAGTACCCACAGAGTCCAACAACTACAGGCGTAAACTTTAAAGCTGTTATTGGAACTCCAGGCGAAATTATACTTAATGCTTCATCCAAGCGCTTCCAATACATCCGTACAGATGAACGTAGAGCGTCAACAGAAATTAATACAGCTTTCAAGGTGAAACTAAATCCTGACAGAAAATACATCAACTTTGGTTTATGGTCAGCTGTGAAACCTGAACCTGAATTGCTTGGATATGGTTCAATGCACCTGTACGCTTGTCTTGCGCATTGCTTTGAGGCACAGGGCCCAACGATTGTATGTTTTTTTTTTATTTTGATTACATTGAAATGACTTAATTGTTAGAACCTATAATTCTATAACCTATAATATAACGTAATTTAAATTCAGTTATATTAATGCTTGTTTTGTTTAGTGTTCAACTGTTCTTGCAGATCACAATTTAGAAAGTTATAATCAGAAAAAGCACATTCTACATCTTGTTATATATAATGTCTCGCTCTGTTGGCAAATCTACTTGTGATGGCTTAGGGGGTGCAATTGATATAACCTACAGCACGATGCGAATTTTTTATTTGCTACTGTTCACTTTCATGATAACCTTTATTTGAACTATGATGCGGCTCGGACGATACACCACAATAGATTTCTTTTTATATGTAAAAAATGATGTATAGAAATATTACGTATAGGATAGCTAAAGCGCCCATACAGGAATTATTTCCGTTGGATAATTTTTGTACAAAAATATGTCAATTAGTAGTATATAAAATTGATTCGTACCAAAAAGGTCATCACCAGTAAGCAAAAATACAAGATGCAATGCTCTGCTTTCAGATGAATGTTCCGTTAGGACATCCTGACCGTATGAAATCTAAGATGGTACCGCGACCCCTACAAAAACATTTAGGAGTGCCAGGATTCAACAGTCGCCTGTGTCATGGCAATATTGAGCTCCGAATGACCGTCGTATGCTAACTTAAAATATTTCCATACCTAAAACCGCTAGAAAGCGATGTGTCTCATGATTGTAATGCATAATGTAATGGCACTTCTCTACAGGATGCGTTTAATGTCCATCTCTGGACATGAAAACTAAACAACGGCATATAATCTGTATTCAAATCTTTCACTTTGATATCGGTTGCGGGGGGGGGAGAGGGGGAGAGGGGGGGGGTCGTCTGCTTTTTTGGTGGTATGCTGTGGGTCGCTAACACAGATACTTTAGGTGTACTCAGCGTAAAACATCAGTATAGCACTTTTAACAGATGGTTATAATAAGGACACAGTGTCAGTAGCATAATAATACATATTTACCTGCATGTATGTAAAACTTTATTTGTACGTATACAAATTTCGTATTTGTTTTATGTTTTCACCGTCATTTTTCTGCAGCTTTGTAAGCTACAACAATCTCAATTTATGTATATTTTCGTTATGTACAGAACTATATATATATATAATTAGCTTGCGCACGTATCCTCACTGAGGCCGTAGATACTCATAAAAAGTTTGTACATTTTCCGTATTATACAGAAAAAAAGTCAAAAGAAATCGAAAGCAAAACTTTGGGTAACCTGTTATATTCATATTTGAACGACGTAGTCGTTATACATTCCTGAGTTTTAGCTAAAGCAGCGTTGTCTCGGTGCTTTTTTTTTTGCTGAATTCTTGTCTAAACCAGTGGCCACGTAACTATGAAATGAAGCTTTAATGACTGACACCAATTATTTAGTATTATCACCAATTGCTAGTTACACGTACGATATTAATTCAAGGGCTGTTAGTAAGTGGCGATGTTGAACAAAGCCCTTACGCTTATCTCAACGCATGAGTGTCTTAATTGAGAATCAAAGGCTGAACTCGTGCCTAAGCACTCCACAGGTTTGGTTGTTTCTATGGTGTTCAGAACGTGATAGCCTTTTAACACAGCTGCGTTCCGTAACTGTTGACGCAAAAGTCTCAACTATCAGCCGAAGTTCCCGTCCCTGCTGTCGTTTGTCGTGCGATCTGAGCAGCTAAGTCGGCGAATTTGGATGCATAGTCTAAACTCGACTCGTTCATTAGGGACTGAAGGTGGCTCTCCACATCCGGGAGACGAGACTCTAGATTAGAATTTGAGTCCGGAGGGCCCGTAGGTAGAGGTGTAGCCTTAAGAGGCGACTCGAAACTGTTTAGTAGCGAGCCTAGCGACAAATTCGATCCCTCTCCATTGAACCATTGTTTGTTCGGTGTAGACAGCAATGGAGAGAAGTCAAGAGACATCGAAGGTCCTTGGTCTAGTTCGTTCAAATTGAATGGAGCTTTCTTCGGTGTTTCGAGTGTGTCGGATGACAAAGAGGGAATGGATAAACGGAGATCTGATCCAGCAGCGTCAGGTATTTGCAAACTGTGATTCAACTGAATATTCTCACTCCCTGTACTTGGTACGGGCACATCCGGTACAATGTCAGGCAGTGGACTAGGCTGGTCCGAAGTGATAGTTGATGCAATTATTCTCTCCAAAGAAATCTCACCTACAATCGACGTAGATATGATTTTGTCAAGAGACGTTTCCATCTCCGACGGCACCGGCGCTGCGGGAAGAATGTTTCGAACAACGACACCTGACGGGACGCTTTGAGGCGCTCCGCCTACACCAGGTGTAACAGTTCCTTGTACGACAGGACTAGTACGTGGCAGAAGCGGCCGTTGCAATACCATAGCTTGAATAGGCTTACGGCGGGCACGTTGACGTTTGTTGCCCGAGGGAAGTTCAACGCGTATAGAATCGAGTGTAATCGAGTTTTTCTTAAAGGCTCGAGGCGCGTGACCCTGTGGTACGGCGAATTCATTTGGCAAATCTCGTGCCGCTCTCTCCAAAAGTCTCTCCCTTTTTGGCTTCGGTGGTAATGGAGAGACGGTGGGCCCCGTGGCAACCGCTGCCGGTGGATGGGGCTTCAATTTAGGGGCTGTTACTGCTGCCGCTTGAGGCTTAGGTTGTGCTAGTGTTGATTTCTTATCACAGAAACTCGCCAGTAGAACAGTAATGAGCTTGTCCATTACATTCCGGATTCGGTTCTCAGGTGCGGGGAAATCGGCGCCTTCAAACTTGTAGTAGAGTATAATGCTTGTGGGACAACCGAGTCTCAAATAGAGGTCGCCGACAGTCAGCACCGATAATGAATCTGCTGTCCAGCCCTCACCAACAGGGCCGTCCTTATCCACTTTTACCTTATCATCATTGGCAGGAATAGAATGGTTTGTTGTTGTTGCGCACACGAGATTTGAGGCTAAACCGTCGTTAGCCTCCTCATTGACCAATGCTGACACCGATCGATCCGTGGTTCGTTCCGGACCACTGAACAAACTAAGCTTTCTTTCCCTTACGTCTTTTTTTCCGCTGTTTAAATGAGTAGTAGTTATAAGGTGTGGATTAAAGTTGTTATCACAGTTTGTCGTTTGTTTGTTACTTGTATTCATACTTGTGCCAGCGTTCGTATTTCCAGCGGGAATAGCCTTTTCGTCTTTGCCTTCTATAGGAGCCTTGTGGCTGTCATTCGATCCTGATGTCTCGACTGAGTGACTGTCGGATCTCATCTCGGGCATTTTTGGGTCAACTGTAGCTGTCACACCAGTCGCAGATTTGACAGTGGACCCTTCGTCCCGTTTAGCAAACCTGATCCGATATGAATTGAGACACACATCCGTGCTACAGTATGTATCAGCAAGTAAAAATTCGATGGCTTTTGGTTGCTGATTGGGAAATACTCGAAGACGCAATTTTTGTGGGGCTGCAAATTGAAATATCGAATTCTTCAGTTCTTGCGGTGTCTCCAGTCCCTCCAATGCCGCTAGAAGTGAGTTCTTTTTTTTCATATGGCCTGGCTGCCATCGTCCTTCCATTAACTCGACAATAGACGCAACTTTTCGTTGGGGAAGGCATGTAACTCGTACACGTGGATTTTGCGCCAATGACTGAACGTGCGTCCACGCTGCATTATCAATTGGCCGTAGCTCGATTGTAATCTGTGGTGGAATTTTCGGTCCCTCCCAGCCCTTATCTGGAACGTTGTTAATCAAGCGAAGTGCTCGACACACCGGAGTCTTAACGCGAAAGTTTTTGCCCTTCACTTTAATTATGGTTTGTCCGGTTATAACTAGCTCGAGCAATCGTGGTGCATTCGTAGGATTGAGTGCCTTAAAACCGATTTTCTTGCGCATTTCCGAGTAGTTGATGAGGCCGTAAAGCTCTTGTACACTTTTCTTCATGTCACCAAGGTCACCTAACGCCTTCGACACCTTGTGCCACGTTCGATAGTAGAAATATCGCACCTGATCTTTATTTTTAAACGTCATCTCTCCCTGCTGTGTCTTGCTTTTGCGGCTTTTTGCAGCCATGCTGTTGTAAATGGCATCAAAATCTTTGCCGAACTCGCAGAGGGCATCGAAGAACCAGTCCTTTGATTCCGGGGTCCATAGATCCCATGACCGCCTGGTTCGTTCTGGATTGGATGATTTAGGGCTGGATGCTGCAATATCTTGCTGTAATCGTCGACCCGCAAATACCTATAAATAAAGAACAGCACAAGAATTCGCACACAGTGGCAGAATCATTATGTATTCTTATGTCCAGATATAATGTCTTGCGCAGGCTTAATGAAAGGTAACATATTATAGGGTTAAAGTACTCCAAAAATCACTATAAAATATATCTTACGTTCAATAAGATCGATCTTTTATTGACAACTAATCCTTAAGGCTCTCAACTCCATGGTTGGCTGCTATTTTGAATACTCATTTATTGGTATCGTCAAGTCAGTTTTTCCTTATTTCAAGGGCTAAAGTCGTTCGGTTACACGTAGCGCTAGATACAGTATAAAAACATGCACATACTATAATACCAGTAAAGTGTACGATATACTGCAGTCAGTGTACGCATAACGTTTGGATTAATTTGAGAGAAAATCACCCAGTGTTGGCAATTAATAATAAGCTTTAATAAATCTATTCAGTTCTACGTCGACTACTATCGATAAGCGGTGTCTCGGGTGGCAGACCCGGCAGCCGATTGGACTACACCAATATATTTCCCATCTATTTCACAAAATTTTAGTAACAACGGGCATAGTATTGCTTTCGTTTTCTTTCGTCTATTATTCTTCTGTCACTGAACTCTAAGTACACAAAGATCTCTTCTATGATTACAACTGGACACTCATGTGAAATGACTAATTATCAAAACCATCAATTGATGGTGTCTCAAACAAGCGGTCAGCTGTTGTTTTGATGCTTCTTCGAGCTCTCAAAGTAAAAAATATGCTAGTAATGACATCTGTGATCCTTTCCATCTCTAATGTTTATCCGAACGGTAGTTCATACAAGCCTAATGTAATATCATGCTGTAGAACCATGCTTATGGATTCTTTCTTCTAAATCTAACTGTAACTAGGCCGATAGAATTACGAAAACGAGACCAAAGCAACGAAGCAAGTCTCATGATTGGTCGCTTTCAAAATTACGATGTAGTTTGCCTCACGTTCATTTCTGATATGTGGGCGTCGTGAAGTAGACATGCCCTTTAGGTACGAACCTTAGGACTGCTTGTATCGCCGTCTTTTCGGGGTCGTTTGATGTGACGTCCGCTAACTCGCTGCTGGGTTGTTGGAGTGCTTTGCTGCGACGGTTGATGCTGAGCTTTTTCATTGCTGCAGGTGTTGGAATTTGTTTGCTTAATATCCTCTTTACCGTTCACGGCAACAAGTGCCTCCATACCGCCGGCTAAGCCAGTTGACAAAAAGTACAGCAGGGGCTCGAGGCGCCGATGTTTTAAGATGCCAAGCAGTTGTAGCGGGTTTTTCGCCCTTTGCAGATTTTCTGCCCGAGAACTTCGACCAAGATTACATCCTCCAAGATAATGGTCACATGCGTACTCGACAATTGCGGTTAATCTTGAATTATCGCTCACCTTCTACTGATTAGTTGTGGCAATTTCTAACACTATTCGGACACTAAAATCCTTAACAGTTATAATAATAGTAATAGTAGCAACGGCTACGACGAAAGGAGCTAATGAGCTGACCATGAAGTCTGGCCCGCACTTCTCCTTGATAGTACTGCTGTTATTATTGTTGTTGCCGTTGCCCTTACTATGTGTAGCCGTTGCGGCCTTAATATCTTCCGCCGCTGCCTTACCACCAACTAGTTCTAAGCTTGCACTACCCATAGACACCTAAGATAGTTGTTTAAATCACTCCTACAATCCGTACAAGACCCTACACCGATCGGTATGTGAAAGTGTTTATAATGTCACTAGTAAGTCCACATAACATATGACCCACCGACAGACTCAGACTAGGACCCCATTCACAACCAACCATTCACTTTATTACTCCCTAGCATCGGGAGAATCAGCAGCCCTAATGACTGTGGCTGGCTAGGTAAGCACTCAACGTTTGTGCTTCCAGTTGCAAATAGTTCTCCACTGCTGGAGAGCAACACTGAACTGTTTATTGATCGTCGATGCTTTCACTTGAAGGAATGGAGTACCAGTGGTGATAGCACTGTTGTATGTTGTATACCTCTCTATACGTTTGATTTGGCTTTCCCTGCCTGTCTGTGTGTATGTTATTGTTTTCAAGAGGTTCTGTGCAAGCTGACAGACGGCACCAAATGAGTAGCTAGATACTTGTCGCAGTAAACAGCTGATCTATTCGTCCCTATTAGAAATGGAGCATATTGTTATTTGATGTTACACCGATTTTTTATTTACACTTAGCAAGAGAGTCCTGTCTGCAGCTAGTTTTACACCTGTTTGAAAATCGCATGCTCTACTACACTGAGGCATGTTATTATGGTATCGCGCATTGATCGTTCGGCCCAGAGCGAACCTTCTGTGGAAAGAGTCAGCTCCGCGGGCACCGGCTTTGCTTGTTTTGAAAAATTCCAGTATCGATTGGTGGTGAATTCGCTAGAAAATGACGCACGTGCATTTCGAATAAAGATTTTAGACAAAAAAGGTTCTTTTCGTCGCTTGGTAAAGTAAGTATACCACTGATTTTGACAGCCTAGGACGCTGTCATAAAGGGGTGACGCAGGGTAGTTCTTGGCAAGGGCATCTATATCAGCGAAGAAGCTTCGATGTGAAACTAGTTTTCTGCCTGAAAAAAAGTATTTGACTTTACTTAGCAACTAATTACAACAAAAAATTAATTGGCTACCACTAAGACAAATGTAAAGGCCTGTTTTTCCATCCACGACCCGCCGATGGTAAACGTACTTTATAAAAGCGAAAAGTGACCGGTAATAACTTTTTCAGTAGCTGCACGAGTTTAATGGATCATGCACACGGGCGTATATTTCAACTAAAGTCTTGGATATCTTGTTTGATTTGTGCTGTATTCTTGTTAATTCTTTTTATCGGCCTATGTCAATATGTTTCTGTAACATGCGTGAGGTCAGATCGTACTTTACTAACCGGTTATCAATTTGCATTTACAAGCCCTATCTTCAAGATCAAAGATATCCTCATTGCTAAATAAACTTGTAAACCCGTAAGGTACGGAAAAAGGGTCTCAGGTGAACTATTAGTTTTAAGAAGGTGGACTCGTCCTGCTTAAAAGCGTTTATGCTTAAAAGATTATGCACTGTTCTAAACCTATAGCGGGATGTCAAGGCAATGTTTAACAAATGGGTGTTCTAAGCTTCGAACATGACAAATAAGTACATCAGCACGTTAACTTAAATTATTTATATATACCAACAACCTTACTTTCTCATATCTTGTCGGATTTATCGTTGTTTTGTATTTCCTTTAGATGCCGATCAGTAGAATAAAGGAGCATCAGTCAGTTTGAGCGCCATCTTGGTTTTATTCATGTATTCAATGTATAGCCAACATACATGGTAAACAGGATATCACTATTTATTTAACATGTTTCATTGATTTCCGATACGCTAATTGTTACTTGTCTCGGCAGGACTTACTGTGGTTGAGGAAATTTTTGCGAAGCTTTCGGATTCTCAACGAGCATCTCTAATATGGTTTACTCACTTTCCAGCATGCAGGTCAAGCAATACTTCGCAGGGATGTTTGCTAAATTTCACATTTAAACGCCGCATTTATTGGATGAGAGGTTGGAAAACATTCAGTGAGGCAATCAAACAGGTTAAGGTTTCAAAATATCTACTCCACGTAAACCAAATCAAAACCATTCATTCGTAAAAATGTTTGTTGAAGGAACCACTAAGTATTTGTCAACGTTTTTCTTTAAAGCTATTCATCTAAGCTTTTTATGTATTATCATACACTAAGTACAACAGCGAGTCGTTGTTGTCACAGGTCAAATCTAATCGTATCAGACTTAAGTTGTGAAAAGGGTTAATCCGTCCACGAGTCTACTTTTAGATGGTGAGCCATGTGCGTATATCCAGCATTTTTTTCACGCATATTTGCGTGAAAGCCAAGGTCGACAGGATTGCTAACAGAAATACGCCTTGATAAAGACATCGTATAGCCTTAAGAAATTTCTCTCGCATAAGGCAAGTCCCGTGCGAAGTTAGCTCAAGAACAAGTTGCAAGAACACAGTCGGACCGATAAAGAAGGCTGGTCTCAACTTGCTTTTTGTCAATACTTGACAGAGTAGTAGTTATGGAACTGGTATGATTTAATTGAGCATGCCAAGACCAGTTTGGTCGAACATTTCGCAAAACCGAATGCTGCCGTACAGTCAAGTACATTAAAAGCAGGCAACATATAGGTTTGACCGGTTGCTGATGTGCAATTTTGTTTCTGCTCCAGGGAGAGGGACTATGCTGCGAACCGTTTTGCCGAAGACGGCGCGACCCTCGCGGAAACAGCTTCATCTCGGAACAGGTCTCCATCATCTACGGGAAATTAGAAGGAACTGTGTCGGTATACAGCTCATCCCGGCTGTCATCCGAGAACGGGTGTTTCGTTCCGGTAGGGTGAGCAAACCCGAAAAGGACCTCCTGATGAATGTGCAGTCTCATCTAGAAAAACACAAATTGTGGAATCGTGAATCTGATCCGATAGCCGACGTTTCGATAGATTTGCCAGAACTTCTCGGAGATAACTTGGAACAACACTTCCGGGAAATTGGCAAAAAATATACAGAACCATACTTAAAAGCTGTACGCGCTTTCGTTGACGCGACAGCGCCGCCTATCCCTAAGCAATTCGTTTTTCGGGAAGGATGGGTGCGTTATGATGCAGATGAAAAGCAGGTGCCAGTTGAAGCACCGCAGGGAAAAGCAATCGTTTTCGACGTTGAGACCATTGTTACAGAAGGTGGACTTCCTGCGATAGCTACAGCGTTATCTGACACACACTGGTATTCATGGTGTTCTTCAGCTCTTGTTAGAGCAAAGGACCACCACGTTGAAAGCGTGACACCCGATATGCTAGTTCCTTTGGGATCTGGGAATTGTGAACAAGTCGTTATTGGACATCACGTGGGGTTCGATCGATCATTTGTTAAAGAAGAGTATAATAATAGCTGTCCAAAAAGACGTTTCCTTGATACGCTTTCAATGCATGTCTGTGTGTCAGGCCAGACAAGCGACCAGAGGATACAATATCTCAAAATGAGAAAGAATGAAATGAATAACATCGAGATAAAGAACAACTCAGAGAAGCAGAATACCAAACTAAATAGAAAAGAGGAGACAGTTGAAAATAAGCGATGGTATGATGTTTCGGCTCCCAATAGCCTTGCCGAAGTGTACCGTTTCTATTGTAAAGATGAACTTTCAAAATCAGAAAGAAAAATCTTTGAAGAAGGTTCATCAGACGACGTACGGGCGAACTTTCAAGACCTAATGAAATACTGCGCTACTGACGTCAAGGCTACAAGAGATGTCTTCGTGAAGCTTTTCTTTCTGTTCCGTGACCGCTTATCCCATGATATTACCCTTTTCGGGATGATGGAAATGCTCACGGCATATTTGCCGGTGAATCAGAACTGGATTCGATACATGAATCAGGCAGAGGCCGTATACCAGGATGTTAATGCGGAAATTAGGTTAATTTTAAATATGATAGCAAATCGGGTCTGCCGGATGAACCAAGGGGAAGCTTGGAGAAAAGACCCCTGGCTTTGGGATCTCGATTGGGGAACGCAGAATATGAAACCGAAAAGAATTTCTACGCTACGGTCAAAGAAGTTGGGTGCGGTAGAGCAGACTTTAGCTAGGCGACCATTCATGCCTGGATACCCTAAATGGTACCGGGACTTATGCATCTCAAAACCGACAGATCCAGCAGGTGGTCCCGAACTGGATTTTGGAGCTTGGAATATTTCGACTCAAATGCGATGCGTTCCTAAGCTCATGAAGCTGATGTGGAACGGTTATCCATTACATCATCATGATGAGCACGGTTGGGGATACCTACTTCCCGCCGAAAGTGAAGACCAACATGTGACGGGGGTAATGAGTGTTGGCAACCGGAGTGAGACGCAGTCCCATAACGATAATGACGCGAGTGATTATAAGCCCAGATTCCCATACGATGAGTACAGGAAAATAATTGAAGAAAGCCAAAGGAAGCGAACGTCATTAAGTACTGATACTCGAACCCCTGACCCCATCAGTGATAACATCGATTGCCACCTTGACGCAACGGGAACTATGAAAACTGATTTTGGCAAAAGTCGAAACGCTGACAAATATAATGTCTACAAACGTAGTCCAAATAATAAGCCAAATAACAAAACTAAGAGTTTTAATGTTGAAGAAAGTGAATCAACTTTTTCGAAAGTAAATGCCAACAGTGATCTTTATGACATAGGCATTCATGGGGTACGTTTTCGGAAGTTACCTCACAAGCATGGACCGAAATACAATGTAGGCAATCCGCTCTCAAAAGATTTTATCAGTCAGTTTGAAGGCAACGTACTTACGTCATGGGAAGATGATAACGCAAATACATTATTGAGGTTAGGCAAGCAGGCAACATATTGGAAAAACGCCCGCGATCGGCTCAAAGAGCAGTTGGTTGTTTGGGTTGGACAAAAAGAGGGTGTCATCTTGCCGCGGTTGATGCCCGCAGGTACAATAAGTCGCCGAGCCGTAGAAAAGACATGGCTTACAGCCAGCAATGCTAGAAAAGACCGAATCGGATCTGAGCTCAAAGCGATGATTCAGGCACCTGATGGGATGCATTTCGTAGGGGCTGACGTCGACTCTCAGGAACTCTGGATAGCATCGCTGCTTGGTGACGCAGCCTTCGCAAAACTCCCTGGCTGCACTGCCTTTGGCTGGATGACTCTTCAGGGTAATAAGGCTGACGGAACGGATATGCACTCAAGAACAGCTGCCTCGGCCGGCTGCTCGAGGGATCATGCTAAAGTGCTCAACTATGCCCGAATTTATGGCGCGGGTCAAAAGTTTTCTGCAACATTACTCAAACAGTTTAACCCCAGCCTAACCGAAGAAGAAGCGGCAGCCTGCGCCAGCAAAATGTTCAAATCCACAAAGGGCACACGTAGTTCGACGAACACGGATGATTTTGTATGGTGCGGTGGAAGCGAATCTCACATGTTCAATGAGCTCGAAAAAATTGCGAGAAGTGAAAAAACTAGCACGCCTGTTCTCGGAGCCCAAATCTCTCAGGCTTTGCAGTCAAAGTATGTGAGTAACAAGTACATGACGTCGCGGATTAACTGGGTCGTTCAAAGTTCGGCCGTAGACTATTTGCATCTGATGCTAGCATCAATGAAATATCTATCGGAGAAATTCGAAATTGATCAGCGTCTCGTGGTTTCAATTCACGACGAGGTTCGATTCATGGTTCGATCAGAAGATCGTTATCGGGCTTCTCTAGCACTGCATATTACTAATTTACTAGTGCGAGCTTTATTTGCGGAAAAAGTTGGCATGGATGACTTGCCATTCAGCGTGGCGTTCTTCAGCGCCGTGGACATCGACCGTGTAATTCGTAAAAACGTAGCAGATGACAGTGTAACTCCGTCAAACCCCCATGGCCTATACAAAAATTACGGTATTCCCTATGGCGAAGAGGTTGATATATATAAAAGCGTTGAGCTTACAAACGGTGGTAAACTCCATAAAGATAAATTTGCATTTAGAGAATGCAATAAACGTACAAACATTGTCTAGATTGCGAGCATCTCGGTCACAGTTAATGCATCGAAGTGCGTTTTTTTTTTAAAGTTCTGCTCTGAGAGTTAGTTACTGCCTTCAGTAATTTGTTACGGACAAGTTGGGAGATCGATCATAACCTTTAGGCGCCAGATACGGTGAAAATAATTTTTACTAGACAAACAATCGGTTGTTTACTAGGCGCGTGCAAAAACATGAGCGTCGTTCTCTTGCTTTATTATTCATATACTTGCACATGATGGCCCTTCGATGTACAGTCTGGTTGCCTACCGTAATATGTAAAACATTAATGGGTAGCTGTTGTCACTTTTGTTGTACACAGTATTTCCTTATAAATTAACTGTGAATACGCTGTTAATAAATGTATGAGTATTTTATTGAGTACGTTTATTGTCCTTACCGCAACGGGATGATCGTATATACTTTAACTCACCCACTTAAAAAAAGTACCTTCTTTTTGTAATTGATTTGAATGCCGTAGAGCATGCATTTTCGGTTATGATTGCATTGCAGGTAAGGTTCTATTTGATCCACTTCTATAAAATGTGAAGGAATTGTTTCATTGTGTGTGGCCTGGAAATCCGCTACTAACATATTTGCTGTGTCTTGACTGAAATACTACATCAGCTTCTTCGGGAGCAGTTCTTCGAGTACTATTCTTTTGAGGTAATTTACGTATGCATCATAGTATAATGCGCATGCACGTTTGCCGTTAGGCACTTGTAGTCATGGTGTCGCAGTCAGAGGTAAATTTTTCCAGCATGGCTAAAGCCGAAGCCATTTTCTATAGATCAGCGTGCTACAGACATGCACACACAGGTCTGTCATAGAGTCAGTAAATACATTTCATAGAATGTAGAATAGGCTATAAGGACATTGGTTTGTCAGAGAAAAGAAGGCAGCCAAAGATAGTTCCGCAGTACAAATATACACCAACTAACACTGCAGTTTACTTCAAGTTTAGTAATTTTACTGAGCTTAGAAGTTAATATATAAATCATTCGCCTGCAGCGTTATTGTATTAGTTACGGAAGCAAAGCAATTTCATTTAAGATCTTGTCTGCTTTACCACTATTGTATCCCTGATCTTTCTGCTGCAGGAAACGACCATGGAGGCCATTCAGCGAACCGTTCGCCTGAGGATAGCACAAACGGTACCGATACAAACCCAGCCGACGAGGCGCCTGTCCCAGAGGGAAATGTGCTGTAGGCCTCCAGGGGTCCAAATGCTTCCAGAAGCCATTAGAAATCAAGTATTTCCCCTTATTAATCGAAGTCAGCCTTCGAATGAAAGTATTGAAGCTATGAAAGACCACTTAAAGAGATTCGGTCTGTGGCATGCGAAAGCTGATTGCTTAGACGACGTTAATATAGAACTGCCTCGATTGCTTGGAGCAAACATCGAGGAGCACTTTGATAGTATTGGAAAAAGGTTTAACATGCTTTATTTAGATGCTTTGAAGGAACTTACCTCTGCTACCGTACCAATTATTCCATCCAAGTTCGCCTTCCTGGAGGGTTGGGTGCGTTATACGGTTGACGGTCACGCTTTTGAAAAAGTGGAAGCACCGGAGGGTGACGCACTTGTTTTCGACGTCGAAACGGTTGTCGTCGAGGGCGGTCTGCCTGTGATGGCAGTCGCGCTATCAAACAAAAGCTGGTTTTCTTGGTGTTCAACAGCCATTGTTGGTGGCCGAGACCACCGGGTCGAAAGAGTGACCCCTAATTTACTCATTCCCCTTGGAACGGTAGATCGTGAAACGATTGTAGTAGGGCATGCGGTAGGATTCGATCGTTCGTTCTTGAAAGAAGAATACGATGCTAGACAGTCAAAACGGCGCTTCCTAGATACTTTATCGATGCATGTCTGCGTCTCAGGGCAGGCAACCTCGCAGAAAATGATGACTTCTGTTCTGAAGAAGTGGAACGACCATACTAAAAATTCAACAATGAAGCCGGTCTCGATCGGTGACATTTTCAAATGGGGAAAAGTTTCAGCACTCAATAACCTCGCTGACGTATATCAGTTGTATTGCCAAGCAGAGCTTTCGAAGTCGGCGAGACAGACTTTCATCACAGGTACATCAGCTGAAATCAGGGCCGATTTCCAGCAATTAATGAACTACTGCTTTAGCGATGTCAAGGCCACCAGGGATGTTCTCGCAAAACTGCTGCCACTTTTCGTCAAACGATTCCCACATCCAGTTAGTTTTTTCGGTTTAACGGAAAGCTTAACGGCATATCTCCCAGTAAGTGAAAATTGGAATCGATATCTAAGCCGAGCAGAAGCTGTCTACAATGATACGAATGCAGAAATTCAGCATATTCTCAATATGTTGGCTAATAAAGCCTGTCGGATGCATCAAGATGGTTCTTGGAGAAATGATCCTTGGTTATGGGACCTTGATTGGTCTACACAAAATTTAAAATGCAAACAAAAAGCTTCACGAAGCGTAGACCTGTCTGAGGCAACAAATAATTTATCGCCTAAACAGTCTGATATGAAAAGAGAATATCCAAAGTGGTACAGAGAGCTATGTGCAAAACTTTTGGAGAATGGGTTAGGGTTATCGAACGAAGAATTCGGTACTTGGAAGATACCTGTTCGGGGACGGTGTATTCCCAAGTTACTTAAACTCATGTGGAATGGCTATCCTTTGCACTTTCATGAAGAATACGGATGGGGGTATCTGGTTCCCCATAATAAGCCAGGAGATGAATCCCACAATAGAGATTCAACTGGATTTCCGCTGAAAGAGTATACACTAATTGTTAATGCAGCTCGAGCAAGATCAACAACATATAGCAAGTTTGCGTCAATTCAACCTGTGGAGGAAATTCTGGACCTAGATGACTTGTCCAAACTAAGTAGTTATAACGACTGGGAGACCATGAGAAAAACGTTTAAAAAGCATTTTATTCCTGACTTACAACGCAAATCTGGAAAAAACGAGATTTTTTATGATCACCTGGAGCGAATCAAGGACTGGAAAACTATGAAATCAATTTCTTCACATTGCGAGTCTGAAAAGAATGACCTTAGCGTCAAGAACAGCTCAGGTATGAATACCGAAGCCAACATCGATATCGGGATTTCTGGTGTACTTTTTAGGCGATTGCCACACAAATACGGAGTTAATTACAACGTTGGTACCCCACTTTCAGTTCATTTTATCGAGAAATATCAAGGCAATCTTCTCAGATCATGGGATGATGATAACGCCGATCGTTTGCTGGAGCTTATGAAACAGACCATTCACTGGAGTACTGTCCGAGAAAGACTGCAACAACAAATGTTCGTATGGACAAGCGAAAACGAGGGTGTAGTCTTGCCGCGATTAATTCCAGCTGGTACAATAAACCGTAGACCAATGGAAAAGATGTGGCTTTCTGGATGCCACGAAATAACGTATCGTATCGGTTCCGAGCACAGAACTTTGGTACACGCGCCACAAGGTATGCATTTTGTGCGAGCGCGCTTTGACTCCCTCGAATTCTGGATTGCTTCGATTTTAGGTGATTCAGCGTTTCAGGGGGTACACGCCAGCACGGCGTTCGGTTGGGCAACAGTACAGGGCCAAGAAGTCAGCGGGACCGATGTGCACTCAAGAACGGCAGCTGTCTTAAACTGTTCTTTGGATCACGCTAAAGTGATTGACTTTGCTCGAATATATGGGGCGGAAAAGGCGATTTTAGCTTCTATTTTTCGAACATTTAATCCCAGTCTCACAAAGAAAGAGGCTAGTGACCGTTGCGAAAGGCTGCTTCGCGTTACGAAAGGAGTACGATGTGCCGCGACGGAATTAGATCAAATGTTTTTCAATAAAAGTAAAAATCCTTTATCGTGCCCACAACGTTGGTTTGCCGGAACCGAATCACACGCATATAATGCGCTCAATCAGATAGCTTTAGGAAAGATACCGCGTACCCCATTTCTGCTAGCCCAAATTACACGGGCATTAGAGCCAGCAGCTGTAGGTTCTTGCTATATGAAAGCGCGCCAGACCTGGATCATACAGAGTTCAGCAATGGATTATTTGCATATGATGCTAGCCTCGATGAGAGACCTTTTCGATCGATTTCAAATTGACGGTCGCCTCGTTGTGGCGAGTCACGATGAAATCAGCTATATGGTTCGGTCAAAAGACCGGTTTCGGGCCGTTCTCGCTATGCATATATCAAATCTTTTCGTACGATCGATGTGTGCTTCCCGGTTAGGTATACACGACTTGCCGTTCAGTGTGGCATTCCTTGATGCAGTTAGCGTAGACAAAACTCTCCGTAAAGATGTGACAAACGACTGTGTTACACCATCCAATGCAGAGGGCCTGCAAAAGAATTACGGAGTACCCTTAGGTGAGGTGATTGATATCTACACAGCAATCAAACAGACTGCTGGAGGCAAACTTACTGTGTAGTTTTATTTTAAGGTGTTAACGTTCCGTTGGACGTTTAAAGTTCGATTAATTAAGAATGTTATGAAAGTACAGGAGAGGCGTACAAATTTATATATGGAACATTTACGACTTGCAGCAAATGTGCCAGTTGTTAACATTTGAAAGATATTCTGCTAAATCATAAAAGCACAATATAGAATTGTCTAATAGGGAAGTTGTGCGCCCTGAGAGATAAGCAACGTGACTGTACTGTGTGATTGTGAGGACTTGATTGTATTGATTTAAATGAGGAAATAGCGATAGGTATATGCTACATGAAATAGAAGCAAAGCAATATCCAGATTCGCGCCCAGGATGTTAATTGACCTTGTAATAAAACATGCATATACAAATAGTTGTGACATACAAATCGCATCAGAATTGCAAGCTCACTATATCTCTTAACCTTTCCAATCGTACTCACGGTAGGATAATGAAACGAGGTTGCGACAACGTTTTCCTTTAAGTTCATCGAATGTTAATTAATAAACAGATGTAAATTCGATACGATGCATATTTTTCAAACATAAATTGCATATGGAGCTGTATCAAGGGTCTGCCATGACCTAAATCGTGCAAGCATATAATATATTCTTCAGTTATACGGTGTTTAACAGCACGAAACTAATAACAGCTATTTTTAGTGCAATACCTTTAGTGGAAAAGAACGGCGCTAAACCTGTTAATATTAGAGATTTTCCCTAAAACATAATTACATGGTCTTTAGTAAGGTTCCAATACTTCAATCGAATTTCGAAGGCCATTCTTACAAATTAAGGCATAACGTTAGAATTAAATATATGAGTTGTGGATGTGTACCCGTACCGAGCTTCGAACTCGCTGGCTTGGTACAAACAAGTAAACAATGGTAATAGATACATTAACAAGCATAGATAAATAATATAATTGATCACAATATGATTGACAGCATAACTTAATATCTGGTAGATTTCCCCTGTTCTTTAATCACTTTAATAATAAAATTCATCGTTTTAATAATAAAAATCACGTGGTTTCAATTACTATAGTTGAGTAAATTGCCTTACGATTGAATAATGGCCAGAGATTTTTTGTGTGTGTAAATTAGATTTTTTACACAGCTAATTCCGAACGACTTTATGGGTTTCTCTAAATCCCAAGTAAAATGTGGGAATGAACTAACGCAAGCTTTTGTGGAAGGACCTGATCAAACGAGGAGACAATGTTATAAAGAGAGAATATTTGTTAATCGTCCATTAACGTTTCACCAAAATTCTATGTACAATATATTATTGGATATAGAATTTCCCAAATAGAGCTACTCAGTGTGTGCCAAACCTTGGGTTGAATTTAGTAGAATGACGCGCAACCTAGAGGTATTTTAAAAGACTGTTATCGGTTTAATGCCTTCCTATTTACTCGCCATTTTCGTCAACAACAATAACAGTGCCTCTAACAAACCGATATAAAGACCGTGAATTTTGTCAAAAAAAGTAGTTTCCTTTAGGTTTGGTCAGGAGTACGTGTTGATCAGTATTACTTAGCGTATTGTTATAACTTCAATATTTAGAAATCATACAGAACCGTTATTGAACATTTTGATGAAACACATCAAAATAATTTTGGATACATGGGTCCAATTAATGAGAATGCGATTCGTTTTCGGATTATACTTTTGAAGCACAATCAACCTCTATAGAATATTATCTCTATCTTAAAGAATACAAAGTGTTCTTTAGCTATGTCACGGCCCAATTTGCAAACGAATTGGCTTTGTAATATTATTGGAATGTTTGAATCTTAGTTAAGTGTACTTAGAAAAAAGACTACAATATTAAGAAATTTGGCGTCATTCTGGCACAGTCCACTTCTCTAGTGAAAACAGAAATTTGTGGCTCATTTCAGGTTGGTCGCTTTGCGTAAGGTTTACACGAATTCATAAATTTAAATTCGAAAACACAGATAAACATTTCCTTCCCATTTCTAGCATAAAGATTACGTGTTTATTCAAATATTATTATAGAATTATATGTTTGGCGCTAAATGAGTACTTTCATATAATAATTGATCGTTGGACTATCGAAGACAAAGCATTGCCCTTGTTTCTTCGCGAGCTGGTATTAATTTCTTGGAAATAGTTGGATTTCAAATTCGAAGCCATTGTTTAGCAATATTAAAGGGATTGATGGTGTATATAGTTATTCGTAGTAATGGCCATCATTACTTTGTTTTAGTAGATTCGATATTGATGCTACAATAGTATACAACAGGCCTGCTTAAAGCGTTTCTCGTTCTCCTTGACGTAAGTAATTCTAAGGGAACGAGAAACGAACGACATAATGCATTCCTACTGTGTTCGCAGCTTTTTTAAGTGGTATAGTTACCTTCTATGCATATTTGATCAAACCTATAGTTAGTTAAACAACAATTGCCAGTGCATCTCATAAATGTAAATAAATTAGTTAAATAAAGATAAAGAATAGATGATATTTGCTAATCGGACTGTCGTCATCGAAAAGCAATAACCGAGACGTTAACAATTAATCGTTTTCAGCTATCGTTTCATTACTAAATTAATGATACTTTACAGATATTTGCTTAGATGTATTGTATTTACAGGCATTTCTCCTAGGGAATGCATGGGGTTCGCATATTCACTTTACGATTCAGAGACCTGATAGGGTGCCTTAAACACAGCTACTGTTTATTCTCCGAAATTCGTCTATTTACTTTTTGTTTGTTTTGTTAGTTAAGGAGCGGCCCTCTACTGGTTAGTGAGATAACCATTCTCCTATTGTTTTATTTTCTGCTTGTTCTATTGTGTAGACTCAACTGAAGAGATCAATTTTTATACGAGATTCAAGCGAAGATGTTACGCGCCTGTCAACGCATAACAATATTATCGTCCCGTCGATCTGCCTATGTATATCCAAGTGCAGTGGATTTGAAAGTCGTTCGCTGCTTCGCGAAAAAGGTGGCACCAGCAAGCGGAGGGGGTCCATCACTTCAGTCACAGAAAAAGAAGCTTCCAGCTGAAACGGATCCTGAAAGATTAGCAACATACTGTTGTGGTTCAAACTATCGGATCGAAGGCCAAGATGTAAAGTTGGGCGCGGACGAAGATTATCCAGAGTGGCTTTGGACGCTACACCTTGGCAGGCCGAAACTGCCAAGTGAGCTTGATCGGAATACTGAGGATTACTGGGAGGCACTACACAATGTACGTAGAATTCACTGTATGAACACTACAACACCTTTTACCCTTTTCAGATGGCAGTATATCTTGTATAACGGTTTTCGGGTTTTGAACTTGTTGAATGTTATTTGTTGAGGCTAATGGAGATAGTCTATATGAGCTATTTGATATTCTTTACGCGTATAACGAAACAGTCTCGAAATTGGTTAATAAAACAAAAACTGTATACTTCTACCAGTCGTTAAGAAGTGTCGAAGATCGATAAAAAAGCGTATTTATAGTTTTTAAAAATGATGCTGTTATTCCAAGTGACGAAAATTAAATAATAGCCGATAGTTGGGACAGGGTAATCGTATATTAAATCCTGTCTTACGTGTTATTACATTGCATTTTCTACAGAATGCGCGTTTGCACCAGAACAAGCTAAATTCGAGTAAGCCGCCCGACGAAATTCGGATCAATGAGAAAACAAAGCTTGCCAAACTGGAAGCTATTGTTCACCGAGCTTTGGCATACAGGAGCTATGATCCCGGAACGTACCTTGATTCATGGAAAAAAGATAGATTCCGAAAATATGGACCATGCGGAGTCTATCGGCGCAATCAACTGAACTCGCCAGATTCAGACGTCGGGATGAAAAGCATTGCCAATGTCACACTTTAGCGTAGCATTTGAAATCCAATATAATTTTTCACACTAAGCTTTCGTTGTATAGTTTTATAGAAATAAAAGCAAACCTTGAAAACTTTAGGCGAAAAAAACGTTGCGCTGTTTCTCTACCTTCGAAGTCTAGCATACCAAAAACATGTATAAAAACACATTCATGTTTTTAATATAAACAGCGTTTTAACTGCACTCTTTTAAGAAGCAATGTTTTCGTTTTCGCATTTTTTATTGATTTACAGTATCACCGCCAATTGAGGTTCTACTACAAAGCGAAGAAAGCCAAATGCAAACACTATGTTAAACAGCTTTGGATGATAGTAACAACGGGCTAATATTCCACGAACATTGAGTATAGAACTGAAGCTGTATTCAAGCACGATATAGACTTTTCAAAATAAGCAACAGGATATATAGACTGTGTATTACCAAGTTTTAAACGGCATATCGAAATTTTTTTTTGCTTATCACGTGCTCAGCTGGATTTTGTATAATGAGGTTTTCTGTTAAAAAATGTATTTAGAAACTGGCTTATTGAAGCACCCGTTTGTTCAGTTGTACGCTATCAACTTTTTTCAAGCAGAATTATTTTACATAACAAAAGTCTGAAAACCTAAAGACTCTAGGTGAAGTTAGGGCTATTTGGAGTAGAATATTTCTACCGTACCGTTGAGCACAACCGGTGCCACGAAGGCAAAAAAGTTTACCAGTGTATTAGTCAAAGGTTTTTCTACTATGTAGTTTTAATGAGCTCACAACAATTTACTCATTTTTGAAGATAAATACCAAGTAAAGGCACTCGAGGTGCAATCATGTGAGCTAAAGGTAACACTATACAGGCCATTAGTGATTTCGTACAAAGAAAAACGAAGTTCGTTTTTAAAAACAACCATATGTGACACGTTGTTGACAGTAACGATGTATAATATGACAAGTGCGAAAGCACGATAGCTTAGTTTAACATGGCATATATATACATACGTTCCTACTAAGTTGCATTTGTAGCTACTTAGTTATTCCAATTTTCATGTGAAATTAGCATTCAAAAGAATGAGGTTTCATATGAGCTTGAAATGTAGTGGCCTATATAGCCACACTCCGTTCTAGTTTATTTAGTTCCAGGGTAATCATATAACATAATCAATGTGGTGATTTTTATGAAGTACAACTTGATTTCAGTCTACTTTGGGACATATAGCTTTGGCACAGATTAGATTATGGTAGAAAATGAGCTGGTAAAAGTATTTTTTGGTGATTTGGAAACAATCGAGTAGTACAAATTGCACTGAACTTCTGATTAGTATGCATCCAAAAATCTGATAGCTTCTAGTTCATATAACCCAGCCTACCCTGTCTATTATTATAGTGCATCGTCAAGAATGTATGCGCGGTTTTTCTATCCAAATAGCTTCGAGGTAACGTATCTCAGGTAATACATTGTGTCAGATTGGTGTTGCCGTCATTTGAAAACCGGCATTTGGCAGAGGTAGATATGCTGAAATTGTCTGAATGCCCTCATTCAAATTTAAGCTAAATTTGATGCAAGAATATGCCATATTTTGCAATTTTATAACGATAAAGGCACAAATCATGTCCAGGCCAGAATAAAAAATCTGTGCTGTTTACGGTGTCAAGATGCGCCACGAGAAACGATCCAAAGCAGGTTTTGTCGCTTTTTTCTTCTGCTAGTCATAACAGTCGCCAGTTACGGGAAGAATAGAGAGAGAACGAAAGTCGAGAAGGACCAACGCGTAAATAGCCACGATATTACTAAAAAACTAAACATCCACAACCATACAGTTTTAAATCAATTGAAAATAATTGGCTATAAAAAAGCTCGGATGTTTGAGTGCCGTTACAGTTAACGCAAAAAAATTTACTCGATCATATTTTAGTTCGCAAAACTCTGCAGAAACACAACGAAATCGAGTAATTTTTTAACGCAGTTGACCACAGGTGACCAAAGATGAACCACATATAACCATAATATGCAAATAAATAAAATGCGATCAAGAATATGTGGCGGTGTACAAAGTCTGACGTCATAGAAAGTGGTGCTATGTTTCCAGTGGGATTGAAAACAAATCGAGCATTATGAGTTCCTGCCATCTGGCTGGATTTATTCTATTCTCAACTTTCAACAGCTAACAAGATTACGGCAAATCATTTCAAAAAAATCAACCGGACCCAGTAAACAAGAAACGTCATTTTGGACCTAACCACATACATATTTAGATACCCAGCAAAAACTGAGAGAATTTAGATAAGAAATTCTAATGCGTCCGTCGTACAGCCGATTACACCGTTAGGCTACAATCTATTTCGGTCTATGCTTAACTCTCTTAACGGTGTTAATTTAATCTCAATAAAAGGTTCCAAAAATGACAGGTTATAATTTTTGCCTATAAATCACAGATATTCTAAAGTACCGCGATTATGGTGTTACCAGAAAAAATGTTACCAGAAAAAAAGATGTATTGAGTTTAGCAATATTATTACAGAATATAGAAAAAAAATGCGTCAGTTCTGGCATAAAAACAGTCAATACTTTTTCAACAACTCAATAGAGACATCAAGTGAAATGATATACCTTAAAATGAAATCACCTTTAGAACTGTTAAAAATGTTTTCGATTTATTTAGAATTCTTAAGTCGCTATTGTCGCTTTTTAAAGTAGCATCAATCAGAGAGACACTTTGGGAAAGCAAACGAACCCCAACCACGTAGAACGCACCTGTTACATCTAACAACTGCTCCCTTAACAGATAATATTGTTCTTTTGGAGCGTTCTCTTCGGCTAACTGCAGCCTTGGGAATAAAAGCATACGAAATTCGTTAGCTGAACCATTTTTTGTATCTTATCTGTATACGTCCCGATAGAATACAATTTTTCAGTAGAGGGTTGGAAAAGCATATTTTCCACATCTAATTGTATAGAATATTTATGAGCAGTTCTCTCCCAAAACAACAAAAAGCTATGATTTCTTATTCATCGTTATCGCTCCAACAACCATCGCAGTGACCGTTAGCCCTTGTGCTATAACTCTGGCTCTCATCATCATCTGCGATTTGTAAGTTTGGCCAGATTGCATTGCATACAGACCGTACCCAAGACAGCAAGTTGTCGCCACTAGACCTGTGGACGAAACAAAACAATTTAGTCATATTTAACTTGCGCATAAAGTTTTTTCGATACAAAATACGCTATGGATCAATCACTCGCAGTAAATTAAAATTTGGTTTTTTTACTTGTACCCATTTTATTTCGAGAACAGCAACAAATGGTGTTGCACATGGTTGATACACTGGGCAACCTCAATGAAGGCCAGATTTCTCTTAAAACTCTGGTCTAGGATTGTCCCCAGTTAACACGATTCCATTTCTACGGGAGTAGTGTTGCGCTGTACCGTTCGTAAATCATGCTCATGGTGCTAATCGTGCATCAACCAAGGGTCTTCACGCGTTAAAACCTAATGAAAACGCAAAAAACGGTTTTTAACGAATGACTTATCTGCACCGGAATCGTGTGGTTCTGACGGTTAGAGAAGAATTTGTAAATTGAAGTTATGAACCGTTGCTGAGAGAAAATGAGTGTGGTATGGTTTGCCCTCAACATGACATTAAAATTTTGGACGTTATTAAATTTCGGACATTTTCAAGGGTTTCAGTATCTATTTTTTCATCAAACGAAAGCGTAAAATTTATCGTGTCATATATAATTATACTGCTATATCAAAAAAGTATCGAAGATTTGATTCTGTATCGAACTCGATTCATCTACTTCAAAGTAATCCCCGCCGGATCCAATGCATGTGTGCCACTGTTTTTCTCCAGTGTTTGAAATGGTTTTTTTTGCAGGCACATGCTCATTTTCGATACTTGATACGGTTTGAATAATCGTAGATACTTATTAGCCCTGTAGGAGGTCGTCCCACATAAAAGATTGACTAATAACTGATCTCCGCTAAAATTGCGAACATGACGCATTGTTATCAACAATAACTGCAAACTTTACTCTTACTTCAGGTAACTGAGTTCGAGAATTCCCGCCCGCCAATCGAAAATACTTCTACTTTAAGTTTAGAACCATATTTATGTATACCTATTAAGTGTTGAATACAAATCTATGGCATTCACAAGATCTGCGTAGTCTAAAGAGTAGCCTGTTTGAAACAAACGCTATTTTATCATAGATAGCGTCGTTCTGCTAATTGACTTTTCATTTGACTCATTCCTGTAAGGATAGACAGGGATATGTTAAAATTATGGTATAAAACGCCATATTTATGTGGCTATTGGACGATCCGTGCAGTTGGTATATTGTGTTATCATGATTAGCTGATTACTGCTATTTGACTTAACTGAAACTTACCCCAGAAAGTAAAAAGTAGTATTATAACTTTAAATAGGATACACACCAATTGGGACAAACGGATTTTGTTTTGCCTTTGATTTAAATCTAGACCAAAATCCCCCTTGGCTACGGTCTAGGAAAGTATCTTGGTTCCGTGGGATCCATTCGAGCTGAGAGAGGTCTACGGGAGGTGACTTCGCCTGCTCGTCTTTTTCCGTAACAGCCCGCATCTGTAAACACATCGAATGAAACGTGCGATCGAGGTAAGTCGCAGGCCATATTACAAACTCCGTGTGCTAACTTCATCCTGCTTCGTAATTCATGCATTCTATTTCTGTCTACCCGGGAGTAGTCTTACGATGACGATAGATTGCTCAAATGTAGGATAACATATTTAAAGTTAGGCCTTATATAGGCCAAGTAACTGAATTACTTCGAAATTAGCCCTAACGGATGCATTAGCCTGATGGTAAGGGTTTTCTTATTCAGCTTTGGTATGCTATCGGTATGGAATCGAAACAGCGCTATGCACAGTATTCCACATTGATAGTTTACAGGTAAGAAAGACCGCTGTTTTTTGAGTCAGTAAGTTTAGGAACATCTGCCTTATCGCAATCAAGATATCTGAATATGCTATCCATTGCTAAAATCGATAAACAAATAACAATAAAAAAAATGCGATCGTCTAAATAATAGGGCGCCGAATTTGCAAGTCTAAGGTCACAGGTTTGTTGTTCATCGCATGCACCGTGTTGCCTATTATGTATATATAATAGGCAACGCGGGGTTTCAATCTCCATGAGAAGATAGGTTAGCCAACGGCTATTACCAGCTATTCACAGCACTTAAAGACAGAAGCTACCCTATTTCTGTCTGACTCTCGTATACCATGTTATGAAAATAATTCAGGATTAATCATATATATAAATAATAATATATCAATAATAGTGATTTTTTTACTATGAAAATAGTGCTACGACACAACTATTTTAAAACTAAACCCACCGATCGGGGTTCACGTACTCTGCTTATTCTGCGAGAATTGGATTTTCCCATTAGGCAGGTTAAACAATAGTCATGGTTACCTTTGACTAAATAATACGTAAGTCATTAAAGATTAAAAGGGTCATTCAATAATTCTTAATTTTCCGAAAAATGGTTGATTAATACCGTAAGTCTAAGATATCTACATACTATGAAGGATAATAGCCAAATGTCAACACACACAAAAATTATTTGCACGAAGCAGTCCTTCATAGTGGTTGAAAAGGGAAAAACCGATCACACAAGTAGTACGTTACTTACATTTGCTTTATTTTCTTAAGTTTTCTCCGTTATGTACACAATTTGCACAATAAATTATATACACAGCCAAAATTGCCTATAAAAAACATATTATAAATAATGTATTCTGTACTAGTGTCACAGTCACTTGTGTCTACGAAACACCTTGTTCTTTATAGAAGCGCTTTAACTCGACTTTTATCAAATACACAATGACAATTTTCTAAATTGTATTTATTCCATTGGCGTTTGCCTGCTTTAACTAAGACAACATTCTGTTTATAGATCCAGTGTCAGCTTTGCGTTATATAGTTAGCTAACGCAGGTTAACGTTCACATTTAGTGTTTCAACCACGAATAACGCTACGCACAATAGAAGAACACTGCTCCATTTACAAAATGGAGGTGTATCTAAAAATTTTTATCACAGCCAGTCAGTGCATCTCTAAATTTTTCGTTGATTCATATTGTAATGGCTATCACTGCCCCGCAGGATTGAATTTATATATTCAGAAGGAAAACACTATACTTTATAGAATCAATTATAACAGAAATAATTTTTTTCATATCCTGCGAAAGACAACACTTCTTAGTGGAATTGGATGAGCTGATAGCAGTCTGACGCACAACTCAGGAGACAATGATAGTCTCAGTCGCAGACAGTTGATCTTATTCGGAGTTTAAAGTCTATTTCCAATGGTGAACTAATTTCTACTAGTATAACATTATTTAGATCTATACAATAATATAATGATAGCAAGTGTAAAGATAGAGATTTATGTACTTGCTATGAAGTACTTTAGCAAGTACATAAATCTCTATTTTCACCGAAGCGTTTCTTCCGGCGTTAGTGACAAGATGTGCAACGTGACGATGAGCTGGCATAGGCACTTCTTGCTGCTAGTTTTATCTTCCTATCACGTCTATACTTGTCATTACCGGATTCTGGCTGACTCCGCTTTTCTTATTTGCTTGCGGTGGTTCTAATTTTATATTGGAGGTTCGTCCTACATGTCCATTGCTCGTTGCAGTGATTACTGGTGTGGATGATGTCGGCGTTGGCGCCGATAGCGTTGGTGCAGCTCTGGAGGCTGCCGAATTTGTTGATTTTGCTGAAATTGCCCCCTGGTTTTCTTGGGTAGGGGTTTCCATTTTGATTGTAGTTGGGACACCCGTATGTCCATGTTCGCAAGACAGTCCCATAGTCGTGGTAGCGACAAGGGCGGCCAGTGTTGTTGTTGTGGAGCCTTCTCTCTTTCTAATATGTTCTCGCAGCCTTCTCTGGATGAACGCATTGTCTTGACCCAAACGACGAATCGTTTTTCGCATGCGACGCAACTTGTAGGCCAAAACAGCATTCTCGCTTTCTAATTGAGCACATTTTTGAACAAGCTCCTCGAACTTGCTCGTAACAGAAGCCCCTGGAGCGCTGGCAGGTGGCGCGATGCTTCCCATGTTCGAAGCAAAGACAGGTTGCTGCTCTTCCCTCATCGTGAAAATGTGGGCGGCCGAAAGGCTACTCCTGCAAAAGAACCTAAAAGCTTTATTTTTATGATCTCTATTTTACAAATCATAAATTTTTGGTAAACCATGATGAGGATGTTTGCTTTGTATAGAAGCTTTTAGTATTTACAATTTGCACCACTCATTTCCTCTAGCTTTTGTTACAGACATTCTTTTATTTAAACGAGAAATATATTTGCTCGAAGCATTGAAGCCCTTTTGTTTTGTCTAGCAAGTGAAACTTGGTTGAGGGCGTAATAGTATTGCTCCATGCAATTTTAAGTGCATTATTATTTATCTGTATTCCTAATCAAGGATTCTGTTTTTAATTATTGTTATCGGTTTCATCGTTTGTGATACCTCTGAATGATAACAACACGTTGACGATTAGGAGCCGTGTCATCATTTTCCTTGCAGGTTCAATGTTCAGCTAATTTTTTTATAATTAAGAAATTAAGTAAACATGCTGTCGCTTATGTTCTTACTCATACTTCTCATAAAAAAAGCTGTCCAAGTTGTTTTATTAAAATAAGAAATTCCACGTACTACTCAGCCGACTAGGTTATTTACATAATATAGTTAACTAAATTAGTGACCTACGAACGCTAAGATTCAAACATCAACACGTAGGCTATCTGTAGTTCAATTAAGATTATAGTTACTAAGCTTTGCTTTTGCTCGTTGTTGTTGGGTTCGAACTTCACGAAAACAAATTTTCGGGGGAAAGCTTATCAGTCATTTAGCAGTCTAGGTTTTTCCGTCAGCTGTTTATTGCGTGTTGAATATTTTAAATAGTCGCAATAAGGATAACAATATAAATAGTAAATAATCGAAGCAAAAACAATACAGGTGGCAGACAGAATTTTGACGAACACGATTACACTTACCGTTTGATTGTGCTTTTATCGTAAAGAGAAAAACTCCACACCAGATTCGTTTGTTTCTTTGCCTGTATAAAGAAACAACTGGATCGCCGAGAAAACAGACTTACTTTTCTAAATTGACCTGTCACATTTAGACGAGTTAACTTATTGTGAGAGAAAATCAAACAAAAAAAGTATTGTCAAACAACTCATGGCGCATGCTTTTTACATAGTACTTACGATATTCTGTGTAGCAACGAGATCCTTTGCAGTATCTTTAAGACACAACCTATAGTGAATATATGGTTATTGTTGTACGTAGTACTTTAGAAACTTAATGCCACCGTTTATGAATAGGAAGTTTTAAATGCACGGAAGCCCCGATCTATTAGAGCCGGAGTAGGAGTTTGTCGTCGGTGTTTACAAACACATCCGGTCATTGGCAAGAGCAAGAACGGATGAACGCGTGAGGCATCGAAAGTGGCATGTTTAAAATGTTTGCGCGTGTTTATTTTCAGCTACTCGTCCTAAACGATGCCATCATTCCAATCGTTTATTATGATAACTAAAAAATTAAAACGAGGATTACTTTCCTATAAGGATATTAGGTTGTGTGTAGAAAATAAGAAAATCCGGCAAATTTTAAAATTGAATAATTCTTAATAGTTTGGCTAAGGTGATGACTTCTTCAATGTATGTTAGTAGTATTCTCCTTCAGCCTTTACACACTTGTTGCAGCGCTCTGGCGGGTTCTATGCAGCTATATATTACCATTGTAATCTCTTTATCTATAGCCTCTTGAAGTAAATCGATGGTAAGATATGCTTTCCGATTAGTTGTCTACTCAATAAAACAATTCAATTCTGTCCAAAGTGACCTTCTCGTTTCACCTTACATTATATGCGAAATGCCAGTTTTGACCGACACAGTACTTAGACCTCGTGCTCTGCTTTCGTGAGAAATCTCTACGACTGCGACAATGCGTTTTTATTTTTCGCGTCCCTATATTTGATCACCTCCTTGCGGGTCTTTACCACTTCAAACCTCCGTTCTCGAAGCGTTTTGACCATTTATATACGGTACTGTGGCTCCTGGCTTCCAAGAATAAAAACGTGATCACTGAGCGTTAATTTCGAAACTAAAAAATGTTTTTCTTCTGAACTCATTTCCTCTGTAATAAACTTAACCGTTTTCTACCGGTTCCCAGGTGACTGCAATAACTGCCACCCAAATTTTGTTTGCTAGAGGCAGGTAGATTACAAGTTCTTCAATTTCAAAGTCTGCCGAATTCGCTTGTAAAGTCCTAGTAAAATAATGCTTCACTTGGCTTATTGCTGAATTTGTTAAAAACAAAAATCTTTTTAATTCAATATGACTGCAATAAATTCAATAAACGTTGTAATATGTGTTTTGATCGGGCTTTGAAATTTCTTAATTCGAGCCCCGTCGCTGACTCACTGCTACATATCCAATCAGATTTTACCCGATATTTCCCGTTCTTGTGTCATGAGATATCAAATATTAGATATATATACAACTAACTATGCTCCTGGCTTTTATTTTTCGGTTCAGGTTTTTCAAAAATTTGCATTTTTTTTTTCTGTATTTTGAGGTCCTGCCTTAACTGAAGGTTTCAGCAGTCTAGTTTTTTTTTCATGTTGACGGTTATGCAAGATTCGTTGCAATGAAAGGCCTGTTTTAAGCAGTATCCCACATTTAGCAGAGTGCATTTGAGGTCCGTTTCTCAACTTCCAAATAATTTGCATTTTGTAATTTATTAATATTCGCGTGTAGTCACAACGTTTAGTCTTAGACTTGTTATTTATTATACATTAGGGTAATTTTGCAAGTAACGGGTATAAACTGGTTATTTTCGTTACATCTCTTCTGATATTCTTCTGATATAATTCCCAAATTAATCGATTTTTTTATGTCAACTATGGCAAACTTTATATAGTATACTTTAATAACGAAAATACTTATTTTACATAATGGCATACACTTTTTATTTTATTATTTTATAAGCGCGTATCAAGTGAATTTACGAGTAACACAGCTTCAGAAAGGCCATTTAGGCGTCTCGCGAATACTAAATGCTATCGTATTGTAGGTTTCAACGATGCGTTCAGTGAACACTGCTTTTTAGAACTGGATGTGTTTTGAGCATCCAAGATAATATTAAGTCATCGCTTTCGCGGAAATGTAGTATATTTAATATCTGAAAATATCATATTTTTCAAAAAAAAAAAAGAAAATATAAATAATTTATATCTGGTATTTCAGAAATTATATATGGTACCTTAGGGACGATGGTGTAGATCAATGCGCTGATTATGCCTCAAGATTCATCACAATAATTCGACTACAACTGTAAACTTACGTTAACTCACTTATTTTTCATTGGTGGAAATCTAAGATAATTGGTCAAGTCATGATGCCACTATCGCAAAATACTTTGCAAAACACTAAACTGTTTATTAAATTCTGTGCTTTATTAAATCAAACACCCAACAACCAGAATAGTTTTCTTCTCTCTTGATTGATTGGTAAATAAATATTGACTGTATAGACCTACGTGCATTTATGCACGTCATCGTTAAGAATCCTCTTAGAAGAAGAAGAAGACCAACGATATATAATAAAAAAACAAAAGTGTATTTAACTAGAATATGAATTATACAGGCCCTGCTCAAATCTGGATAGACCTCGATAACTCAACTTTTTTACAATCGTCTCACGGACCGTGAGGGCTACGCAAAAACAAAATCTGGTGACATTCTCTTTTGACAATCTCAAAATGCGTCCACTGGTGCAACTGCTCCTTTTTATGTTTTTGAGACACCGATTTAGGATATGAAAATGAACTTGATATTTAAGGATCTCCCAGCCTGAATTAAAGATGCTTCGAACTAATTTAAATCTTTGTGGTACTTATGGCCAATGCTTAATTGTAGCTATCTTCGACATAATAACTTCATTTTATAAACTGATGATTGTTGATTTTTCATCTTTAGCCATATAGCAATCTCAATATACTGGAATGCTCACCTTTTTGTATTTCAAGTATTTTTTTTAGCAAAAATGTAAAGCATGTTTAGCTATTATTTATATATGACTTTTGTTAATTTCACAATGAATGCTCTGTACATTTAAAAATTATAAAAGTACGCCAGTTCCCTTTTATATACTAGTATCTATAGTCATGTAACCAGTAGCATTTGATTTTTTAGCCAACTCACGTGTTGTTTATCGGCAATCTTTCTTCAAAGGTGCCTTAGGAAGATATTCATCAATCTTGAATGGTCGACCGAATCGAAATGCGTCCTTTAGGTCAAAGATGCCGTCTTTGTGCTTAACAGACCCATTCTGAGCAGTCCCCTCAGGCAAAGGTTTCACATATGCATATATATTTCATATAATAGTAATAATTTGGCACAAATAGCCCTAGCGGCCTCCGTAGGTCAAAAACCTACGAAAATGCAACATCCATATTTGAAACCCGGACTCATAGTGATTACTATAATTTTGTATGCCGTTTGTGACAAGACGAATTGCAGCGCATTTAGGGAGCGTGACTAAAGAGCACGGGTGTTGACTGCTATCCCGAATAATCTTACAGAACACTTCAGACAAATTCCCAACATAATCATTGCGAAAATTGACAAAAAAAGAAACGTACGCAAAGCTAGAGATTTCATTACAACAGGAAGAAATCGGAAGTGTAACGGGATATTAATAAGAGAAAGTATAGAGCTGAAATGAACCTGCTGCTGCCGGCACAAAAATTTAAAGATGTATTTAAAATCTGGGGATGTTTCTGCGCTTGCCCAAAGCTGAAATTGAAAATGATAGTTAGAGGAAAGGCGGCGGATCGATGGCCGGTTGAGGCTGTTAGGAGAGGCATCTCATTTAACGATAGGACTTTATCATTAATGTCTGAAAGGTCAGAACAAAAAGAATCTCTGTGGTACGCTGAGTGCATAATGCAATTCTTCAAGCAATAATAGCAAATATAATTGAAAGGACCGAGATTCGTTTTAAGTCAGGTAAGTTGAGTGGTTCGTTCGGTTTTTTAGAATTACCAAGAGATATACCAAAAGATAACTAGATCGTAATGGATCATAGTATATTAGAACTCGAGCTATTTTATCAAGCCGTTGCAGTGACTCAATGTGACTCTTTAATGATCGATGCCGTATCATCCAAAAGCGGCCTGGTAATATTGATGGACTGCTCTACGAAGATGATAATCTAGCAATATTCAGCGAGTTGTGGAGCCTTTGCGAACAGACTGGAATAGAAAATGGGCCTTCGAAATAGGGACGCAATGCAATTCTGGTAGCCATAACTAACAATCGGCATACTAATCAGGCTTTAGAAACAGCATTGTTTTCAATCTTAAGCTAGCATCAGCAGCCTCATTTTGTATTTGCTATTCGAAGAGCAGTCAGTAACATACTAGCTCCTTTCACAGGGTCGACGACATCGTTCATATCATAATCAATAACAGCGTTATATAGTCATGCTTTCAACAATGGTTTGAGTAAAACGGATCGTGGTACTGGACATTTGAAAGAATATAATAAAGATTAAATGGAAAAACTACGAAAAAATATTTGATCTATTTTAGGAGAAACGTAACACAATAAATTAAGTCTCGCAATATATATTTCTTTTTTTTTTTATCACACAGCATTAGGAAAAGATATCATAAAAGTAAAAGTAACTTTATTCACACCTAAAACGTACACTTTCCACAAAGTTCTAACATAAATATCTAAAAAAAGTTTTTACGTCCAGTACCTTAGCCGCTAAACATTGCTTCATACGGCTGTCTTCAGGCACGAAACAAATCTTCTGTTCCCGGATTTGAATTTTGACCACCACGTAATTTTATGTTTATCACGTTATTACGGGGATAACCCACGTAGCTGGGAGAATCAAATATACTTAAAACGATGTAATTTTACTATGTTAACAAGTTATCGGTACAGACGAGATCCTAAGCGTATAGAATATCGCTACCGTGTTCACGCATTGCCCGAAGAATGACCCACTTATCAATGGAACCATATTTCAGGTCTGCTTTTGTCGTACTCGTATCTTATCAAAGTTCGAATCCTTTTTTCGTCAATTAGCTTTACCTGAGAAAGTATGTTATATTCCTTAATTACACCTTTAAGGTGATACAGTAATTGAAAGTATTTTTTATCGACATTAAACACGGTAAAAAATGCCTATATCTATGTTCCGCTGTTTCTCTCAGCCAGTTTAGCATAAAATCAACCGTTATAGTTGTTTAATTATGACATAAACGCGCTATTTTTTGATAAAAGTTCATTAGGATGTAGGTATAGGCCGATCTGTACTTCTTTTGTTTCTTAAATACGACTAATAGCAAATTAACGTTAAGATTAAAAATCTAGTTTTGTCTGTTTGTTGATCGAATTTTCGACTAATTTTCTGTGTCGCTAAAATAGCATTTAGGAAAAATTTGCGCGGAAGATAAAATCAATAGACTTAATGTTTTTGACTTTAAATGAAGAGCTCGTTCGTTTTGTAGATTTTAATATATATTTGATTGGCTACGAGTTGACAGCGGCAACTTCATCCACCTTCTTCCTGTTTAGAGGAACGCGGTGTCAGCAAAGCGGACACCAGCATCACCCGCGCCGATACATTATCGAATGGGCAAATGACTGTTGCGTGGGCATGTGCTTGCTCAACATGTGCTTTAATAGTGAAACTGGCGCGGATTTAGCTCCCGGGGATTATGGTCTAGCACTTTTCGAGCTACTATATCACTAGCTATTGTTTAGCTAGGGCCAAATAGTTTGTAGACAAAAAGTTTACAACTGCTTAGCCTTTTATTACAACTAAACTCTTTTTAAAAAACTGTAGTGAAAGGTTTAACATTTAATAATAGTTCGGCGTGAACTACTGTGTATGTTGAGGAACATGCCCGGTTCATATGCTACACGTGCAATTCGTGTTACCTATTCTGCGTCAGCTTAAATCCTGCATCAATGTGTCTACGTTTGATAAATTCGTATGGATGTTGACACAACACAGGAAAGTCGGCGTTTGTTTATGTTTTTGATCGATAGATGCGTAGGAGATATTAAATAAAAAACACACAAATGGCAATATGACGGGACTGAACATCGGAAATCCAAGCACATAATTATTAGGTCGTTCGTGAGGTGAGCTTTAGCATAGTTTTCTGCCATATCCGGATTTGTTCGTTCTGCCTCAGGACTATTTGGCTCAAGGATGGTTAACGATCATCTACAATTTAGCCTGGACTGAATCAATTCTTAGCTTATCCTGTCGAAAGCCTTTGATGATTCAGCATTGTCTATGTAATAAACTCTAAAAAAAAAAAACGAATCTTTTCGATAGAAAGTTTGTTCCTAGTACAGTTCTTTGTTCCGAGTACGCGCCACTAGGTGAAATACTGTTTGGTAAATTATCAGCATCAACAGCCGTAGATAAAGACCCTCTTTCATCATGTGTACACTCGCTCGATGCGCAGTGCATAGTACATGCAAGTATTGCACGATGAAGTACTGACAACTAATCCAGCAGAAAGGCAAATTATCGCGTTTTGATGACAAACTTAGGCGTGAACCATGCTTGATGACTATTCACCTGTAGTTTATGTAATATCTAAATACATCTTTAGACTGAGTTTGATACTTTGCAATGGTGAGCTGTGAGAATGTGAGTTAGGCTTAAACTGATTAAAACTCTGCGTTTTTCGTTAGAGAGCTGATGCACCCGAACATGTGGAATTGTGGATCTACCACAGATGTCATTGAAAACTCATCGCCTTTAGATGTCAGTGAACCTTCTAGCGATTAGATAGGTATGAAACGTTCCATTATCGCGAGCGATAAAGAGTTTTACGGATTCTCGCGGTTAGAGTGATGCATAGAATGATAGGAAAGAGACATGGTGAATTATAGCCACTGAAGCTGTCTCCACGTACGCCCCTATTAGCTGGCACTAGCTTCCTTCTGTTTATTTTATCTATTTTATTATTACAAAGTCCTGAGGGTTCATATTATATTGCTGTTTTATAATTGTCTATCGCTATATATCTATCACAGTAGCTCAACTCTGCATCGGTTTATGTTTGAGAGATCTGAAACACCGAATCTCACTTCCCGACCCGTTTGTACCGTTTGTATTGACGATGGTATTACCTTATTTCGAATATTTTATAGGATGCTTTAACTGTATTTTTTTAGTATTTACCAGTGGTTGGCAGTGCTCAGAAAGACGCCGAAGTTGCTCTTAAAGATAATTTATCCTGCGCAGTTCTTTCGTTCGGATTGGAATTTCCCATGGCCATACTAGAAGCTCATTGTCCGAATTAAGTCAATTCATTTTATTAAGTAATATTAGAATTGGGCGACAATCGTACCATGCTTCCTATGACCAGCACAATTTTGTCAATGTAATGCTAACGAAGCTAGCTTCTTTCTATATGCACAATATAGTATTTCCTCGGGAGCCGTTACCTGCATTTACACTACGAACGTGTCGGATGACTCTTGTCAGGGCCTTGACAAATATGGTTATCATTATAGCAAAACAACTTCATGCTGAAATTGACAGATAACAATGACAAAAACAGATTTCAACTTCTATTCGTCAAACGAGATTCTCGGATCGCTCAAAAGCATCAACGCTATTTCAAGGAGGCTCGTAAACAGGTTATAAGCTCAACACAACATAGGACTACTATTTATTTTCCTGATTGATATAATAGTACATTCGAGTTCTACACAAGCACCTAAATTTCTAACAGTGAGCCTGTTTCTATCTGTGTATTTTTGATTTGTCCTAGAGCATGGCATCAGAAAACTTAGGTGGAATTAGAAGTACGAGATTTCAATTAACGCGAACAGAAAGAAAGTATGTGCGACATCGGTTCATCGATGCTTCACTATTTCAATTTTTACTTGCCAATACAACATTGGTATTACAGTGGCGCCACTAAGCTAGAAAAGGTGTGGAAAGGGAAACTAACTGTAACGGCGCTGTATAATGTCTACTTCGTGTATTACACTTGCACCGTGATATCAGCCATACTATACAACCGTTAGAGGCGCTGACTTCAAATACTCGACCTCATAACTACGCAATTCGAGCAGATAACGAAACTCAACTGTGAAGTTACGTATGAACGGTTTAGCATGGCCAAATCGGTGAGGATTCATGCCAGCTATCATATGAGCGAACGCGCATGAAATATATTTATGATGAAGGCTGCAATAAAAGACGTAAAGGCGAGTTTTGTGAAGCAATGATTATTGGTTGGCTTTTTGATACCGGTGCTAGGATCAACACTTCCTATCGTTCACGGATAAGTTGTCAACACAAACTCAATCAGCCGCAGTCAGCAGAAATGAGTTATGTCGAAAACGTCTAGTTTTTATTTTACAAAACTTGGCATTTCTGAGCATGGTAGTGCGCATGTTGTTGCTGATTTCGGCAAAAAAAAAGACCTAGCTCTGATCCTTTTCTAGTCGCGGCCAACCATCTGCACCTGAATACGTACACTTCGTAGAAAATTTGCTGTTTCGTTTCTTCGGCTCTCTGTAGACTGCACGTTAGCCGTACTATATCTTCTTAGTGTAATGATCTGTCCAATGATATACGGTGTATTCGGATATGCCGTTCATTCCGCTTGGGCACAGGTGTTACTGCTCCGAAAAGGCAAAGTTTTGGTAAATGTTGTACCTGTCATTTCGAATTGGTTGGTCGTTTTCTACGGCAATAGCTGTCTAAACTGATTACTTATCTATCAGATGGTAACGTGCTCTCCATTAGTTTGAAACGATGTCCAATTTTGTGTGTATATACATAATAATTGATGTGAAGAAATGTACCTTTGGTTTCCGCCACTTTTCTTCCTGGTGTCATGGTTTAATGCACTTTCGTTTTGCTCTTCGAAATCACTTCCGATTTTACAAAGTTCCCCGGATGTGTGCTTAGAGCTTTTTTTGCTCCTGCTTTTTAGTAGCTGATTCAGAATAAGTCTTGGCGGCTTATTTTATCTTAACGACAACTTTGTAGCGTGTATATTATCTAGTACTGTTGAGTCGGCAAGGTATAACCATCAAGCGTGTCGGCTTTTATAGAGGTTCAAGTGGAGGCTTTATCGCATGAATACGACTGTTATTATTAGAACAGACAAACTCAACAGTATATGAGGCTACGACAGTGAACACGCAGTACCTAAATTGTAACAAATGACGTTAATTCATCAATCAAACTGAGGCCTTGATTGTCGGCCTTCATATGGTTTCTGAGCGTTAGCTCTGTCAAGCTATGCCGCTGACATTCAGACTCAATCTCGACTTATATGCATCCATGAACATTTAGTTTGGGGTGATGGAGGTAGACTCGACAGGCTGACGCAAATAGAAATTCTATGGCAAATGGGGCGTCATAGTAGTGTAAACTTTTTTTTTCAATTATTCTGCGAAATTACAAGTCGAAACCGTTATTCAGTTTCCTTTCAGATTAGAACGACTATTATCTCTGCGGTCGATTTAAAAATACTAAATTATTAGCATGGATAGAAGTTCTTCGAATCGATCATACGACAGTGATAATTCCGAAGTCGAACAGCCACCTCCTCCAGGAGGGTACGTGTGGAGTGATGAAGATGTCAGCATCGGCAGGTTAGTCAGCTCGTGCGTTGTTTTTTACCTATTTACTGCAACAAATTGAATCACATGACAAAACCGTACCTAAAAAGAACGAACGTGGTGGTAGCGTTCAGGCCCAAAATGTTGAGCGCAGCAGTTAACAAAAGCAGCCGTAGATCTTTAGTCGTTCGTAGAAGTCCACCATATATTTATATTCATAATAACGTAATGGGTAGGAAATATCGCTAGGGTAACGATGTGGTGATCCAAAGATTTTATCTGCCTCGATTTTTCTGACTAACTAAACCTGATCACCGCGCCTCCTTAACTAAAATTGTTTTCCATTACACGGCTTTTTGCTACTGTAGCTAAATCGGAGGCTAGGTCGTCTGTAGTATATTACAGTAGTTTCTTCTGTAAAGTGACCGTTCAGTGGACGTAGGACGGAGCGCTTAATACTGCCGTAAACAAACTCTTCAAAAGGTTCATACAAGACAAATACGTGGCGGTATCTTAGCATATTGTATTTAATTTCTTATTAATGTTCGGTTTCAAGGCTATGGCAGTATTTTTCTATTGAAATAACTAGACGGTACAATTTCATATGCGTTGTTTTTAGCCGACCGACGTCCCCCTGTGCAACCGCTATGATCGTAATCGACGAAGGCCTAATAGAGTAAGTCCTCTGAAGCAGTCTTCCTAGCTTAGTTGGTTTGTATTATATATAATACATATATGTAATATATAATTATTTTGGTCTGCTAATAGGATTCTTAATTTATTCCGATTATAGGTAATAGTGCATCAGATTCGTAAATACTACATTCAAGTTATGACAGCTTAGTTCCAATGTAGACGATTTTTTTGTCGCTAGGTATACTATTAATGTTTAACGTATTAGTCGCATTGAAGCACGTTTTTATAAAGTCCAGTTGGCAGTTTTATCTCCATTTGAAAGATTTTGAGTAACTTATGTATTTCTAAGATCAACAATTGTCACAGAAAAATAACAAGACATTTCCTTAAATTACGTTCGATTGTGAGGTAGCTCTGTGTAAAAGAAATAGGTTATTATGTTCGGCAGAGACATAAAGTAGGTGCGTTTAATATAAACGACCGTAAAATTGTTGTTGTTGAGTGCTTTACAAATCAGTTCGAGTCTGTACTTCAGCCGAAATATTGGGCTGTCCGCCATAACGCCAGCAAGGAAGACGCAGCTACTACTTTATCGTATAGGTAGTTTGCACGTTACTGCAATCATATTTATGCCTTTTTTCGGTACTTTCAGTGGGCTTAAGGAGAGCGTAATAGATGACAGGCCAGTTGACCGTGAGTTAAAGGCTCGAAAATCGGCACAAGGTATCGAGATCAAGTTGCCTTCCAAAGATGAAGCATCGACAGCTTCGTCAGTTTTGGACAGTACACGGTCAGTCGGTAAAAAAATCTAAACTTGGCAAATCAGCTTGTCGTTAGAGAATGCTTCTTTGGTCTCGGCCCGCCTGCAGGCTAGGTGCTTGGACCTTTTCTCGGCTCTTGAACTTCGAGAACTGTTAATTCTCAAATCAGCTTTACATTTACTAGAATTAGCGGAGAATGCCTTTTTTTTTCCAAACATTATTTATCACTGGAAAATTGTTCTGCATACGCTAAGGCAAGTGATTTAAGTAGACAACTAGAAAACGCAGAATGAACCATATCCACTTTAGAGGATGACAATTGGTACGTTTTATCTCAATTTATAAGTCGATATTTAGATAGTTACGAAGAACGTTGTTAAGGTGCCAACATTGTACGTGAGCAGCGATTGAACCATTACGATAACATAAACAAAACCTCATAAGAGGTTAAAACAAAAATTAGATTATCCAACATATAATAACTACATCTTCGCGTGTAACTTCTTTTTGGCATTATCGCATGTTTATGCTATCAATTAAAAAAATCCGACTCTATTCAGCAGGGTCCATTTCATTTGCAGCAGGCAGAACGAAAAGGCACCAGAAAATTATTTAAGGACAATGGAAGTAATCCACGGTGTCTTAACTTAGATCTCCTGCAATTCTATTGAACGTTCCATGAAACAAGCTGAAATTATTAAAACTTTATACAGTTTACGAAAACTAGAAACGACATGTCTATGGATAGAAATGTATCGATTCGAGATTTACGTGTCGAGTTCAACGGCATTTAACTCAGAATCTGGTTCCTGTTTATCGATAGCTGGTATTTTTCGACCTTTTCTAGAGTCGAAATTTATCCTAGCGATCAATGGGTCGCTATATGGCATATTAATGGCTCTTTCGCAGGATCTATTTGATTATGATTCAAAAAGAACAGATCGCAGTCTACTTCAGGCGATCGACGCAGAGGTAACCAAAATACTCGTCAGAGAGAATGTAAACGATTTCCAGTAGGTTTGTACGGAAATCATTTCATATTCATGAGGTATCGAGATCTATTTTTGTAGCAGATAAAAACGGCCCCGCGATGTCAAGTGTTCGCCTACGAAGGGATACGCAATCTTTCTAGCTAAATACGTTATTAAATAAAGGAGATCAGTAGGATATGGCAATGTAGATGCGCCGTCACTGCTTTTGGTAATGAGTGAGAAAATATTTCAAAGCAGTTCAAGGGACGGCAATTCTAAATTTCGCTTAATAATATAACTAAAACTCAATTTGACCTCCTGGTTGACTATTTAAATCCGAACAAGTCCAGTTTGATCAGTCTATTTAAGCGGTCCTAATCAGGTGTTGTATGGCCAGCACAAAGCTACACAACATATCTCAAGGAGAATTTTCTATAAACTGCATTGTGGATCTGATCGAAAGAAGGAAGGCATTTTTCGAGGTGGTCATATGTTGGTTATTCTAGGCCTGTCAAGTTGAAGCCAGTGGCAAAAAAATATGCACAGTAGCCAAACATCTACAACGATATAAGAGGAACTACCAAATACCCCAGTTTATGCGTTGCCACCTTACTATTTCTTCCAAAGAAACGTTGCCATTATGAGAATATCCGAACTATCCAGAAGAACGAATCCATATTGACAGCGATGAACCGTGTACGCGCTAGCATTGTCTTTAAGTTGTGGGTGCAATGCCAGCTACTAAATAGGAAGAACCGATCATTGATACGTCATCGATTGTAGAGAACACCCTCTACCTATGTGTTCGCACGTTTCGGTTTGTCTCGTATACTCGTACCAAACAAAGGAACTCAGTTCACAAGTTCTAAATTGAAGCTCTTCTCTAAAGAAGGTGGGGTAATTTATGATGGTACCATTGTCGGCATTATTACACTTAGCAATAACTCGTTAAGCCGAACATGCTTTTGCATACATAAACAAAATGATTAGTGTTACTGGAGATAGATATCGGCTGAGTTATCGCTAATGTTTTGATGCCCCTATGAGATAGGTTTGCATATATATATATATATATATATATATATATATATATATATACACATATATGCGGTCCGTACCAATATTCCTAGGCACTGCTGCCAGTACCAAGACATCATCACCACATCATGGATATATATCTACAAGTCAAATGAAAAAGGGTTCCTAGTACCTACAAGTATTCACAACAGGAATGTTAAGGTGAAGTAAGTTATTGGGTAAGCATTGAACCCAACAATATAATTGCACGAACGGGATATCAACTGGTCAATGGATTCGTCAATCAAGTAAAATAAAACATAGTGAGATTTGATGACGATGACCATTATTATTCCATAATCGTAGCAAATATCAAAAGTGCAAGTTTAACAATCAATAGAACACAGGATTATCGCAAGACCAACAAGCTAACATTAAAAAATGACTAGCTTTAGCTCAAATAAACGCTAATTAACAAATAGAAAACGTTTCAAAGCCAGTGAGGATAGATGCCCTTCTACAATGTATGTTTTCACGAGGTTGCTGACAGAAACGAAATAATATTAATAGTGACGCATCAGTATAAATCGTTTCCCTCGGCATGATCCTTTCTTCAAGGCTTCTCTAGAAGCGTAAAAAGATCCTACCGACTCATTAGTGAGAGTTCTGGCTTTTTTGCTCGACTCAACAAGTCTTTCAGTGTTATGTGGTTACCGCACTACCAATGTCTATCGAAAGCCTCTTTCTAATATATATTGCATATTGTTCTGTATCAATTAAATACAAACTGCTATTACAAAAACAACGTTCCCTCGAGAAAAATGATGCCATGATTTTCCTGCGTTCATTATCGATCTTTCTTATTTGTCTACTCCGGAACATTTTCTTCTATTAAAATGTTATGGCATTTTTCAGACTTAGTTGTATTACGTTATACTTACAGATCTGACTCGAAGAACCCCTACAACGACGCAGCGGGTCTCGCTGTGGGTCATGAGAGCCTGCTATCAGAAGCTGCGACAGATCTCGATTACGTGTAAGCGGCTTTCTGGTAAAGAGTTTTTTTTGTTTCCGTTTATGTACATAAAAAAAAGCAACAGAGGTGTCAACTTGTTAAATCGTCTGTTGTTGCGACCAATAGTTAAACAAAATAATTGACAAAATTGCCACTTTGGTTCCGTTGACGTGGTCCTGGTTAGAAAGAAACGTTTTTTCGTTTTGCGTATGGGAATCAGGATTCCACTATCACTCCGTACTCGTGGAAACATTACACGGCCTAAACGCTTACGGAAGGTGTGCATATTTGCTGCACATCAAGGTTTTAAGGTAAATGGGGACCAAGTCACCGTTTTAGTCTGCGGTATTTAAGCATTCTCATAAAAGCTGATTTATAACCGATCTAACATGATCGATTTATTTAAATATTTTTATTCAACGCACTTTACCGTCATCTCATACATCTTCTGATCAATAAGCAACGCTGTATATTGAATAGCATAGATCTCGTTCTTGTTAATACAAACGGCTGTGTGGCGGAGTCGGACCAGGCAAGGTACTCTAGATGCCGTTCGTTTAGCTTATTTAAACTAATGGAAACACTTCCGCAGAGCGTCCGCAGATAATAGCTTAGGACTCCAATAATTATATAAGTTACTCTATTGATTATAAAGCTAAGTAATACTACATTGGATACAAACGTTTCGGGTTAGGCTTAAGACCATTTTGATCGATTTATATATCTTTCGAGTTTCATTTTTTCCGCATACTCGGTTGAATAGAAATCTACAACGTTCTCCGTACGTTATCTATTGGACGTTAAGATGTACCAGCAACACTAAACGTTCTTACCAAATGCTCTTCCGTCTGATGACTGACTAAATAGATTATGTTGTAACAGGTTAAACTTGAAAGCTCTATCACATTAAGTTTTTATGTACACTGTGTACTCAAAATTCCAACAAGTTTCACTAGATCCATGAAATATGAGTGCAAGAACTGTAAAAATTAACTTATTAGCTTAATAATTTAAAAAGCCCCTTGGAAATATTTTGCTTTAGAAATTGGATAGCGTCAGCCCGGCCGCTTATTGCAATAAAACAGCTCTAAACAGAAACTGTTCATACATAGGTAGGTCTATATCCTAACCCGGTAAAATCTAAAGTATCCTCGTCTACCGTAGCCTGTTGAATGCTTAACAAAAGCATTGACCCCTTGAAATCTTGAAGTGTATTCTTTCATTCTGTGAAAATATTTTGTTACAACCTCCATTATAATATATTATACAACTGTAACGTGATTCATGTGTTCTGATGTCATTTTTTGCTAGACAAAGAACACCTGAAGTAAGCAATCTTCAAAAACGCTCGGAAAGCTTCAATCTTCGACCCCGGAAGAAGTTTCATTATAGTTTCGCTAATGACGACACTCCTTCGTTTGTCACGCGTCGAACATCAAGCATTGAAGAAACGCCTACCGCTAAAATTGGCGCAGATAGCCGCAAAAGGTAAAGATCATTCTACTCTGTTGCTTTTTATGATCCATATTGTATGCTCTACAGACAATACAATCATTAATTCAGGCAAGGCTTCGCTCAGAACTGTAATAACTATGTATGTACTGATACGAAGTTACGTAGGATTATGGAAAATAACTGCCACTAGATTTCTATAATAAAAGTTTCTAGCGAGAGTTGCTACGATAACCCGCAAAGGTCCCGTACACACTCTTTAGTTGCAACGTACGAACAGGGCTAATGATTTTGATGTGAGAATCCTAATTCTGAGGCTTTTTCATAAATGTAAACTCTAATCCAGAATGAGTTGCTATTGTCATAAACCGTTTAGTATGATCCTCTTAAGAAAAAATTAAGAGAAAGAAACGTTGGTTGTTTTTTTACGAAGGTTAGATAAAAAAAAAAAAATTGCAGTTACGTTAAGGCGGAGTTTGAAGCTAATTATTGCATGAGGTATCTTTATATAGAAATCAGCATTCTAACAGGTCGTATAGATTTACTTTAGATGTGATGCTTTTTTGATCACTTCTAAGGCCATACATCTCAGTAAAAAAGTTAAATATCCTGCAAAAGGCACTGTCGTTACTTTAAAAATATGACAGGGTTGAATTGAATTTAAACTTTCGGCATCCAAAAGCAGTAAGTGCACTCCGTGTAGCCTTCCGTCTAATTGAACAAATCACATTCAAAGTCTTTAAAAAAATAAAGTTATCAGCGAACTAATTAGAAAAATTTCTATTTTTTTCAGTCCCCTTTTGGTCTGTGTCAATTTTTGAATACTGTGCCGTGCCTTCGTCGAGCCGAATTAAGTTTGGAACGTAAAGGTCCGTATCAGGACGAAAATTGCTTAATCAAAAATCAATTTACGATCACTTACATTGAAGGGTTTTTTTTCAACGGACCTTAAAGCTTAGCCCTAGGCCTCTAACACGTAGATATCCAAGCAAAAGCTAAACAAGAAGTAGCCCTTGAAGAAAATGAGCCCCAATGTTTTACGGTTGCTCTCATTTTGTATTTCTTTAGCATTCGTCGTCGGGTAAACTCATTACAACGATTCAGCGCAGGCGATGGTATCGATACTGAGTACGTTAAGTTCGAACGAAGGGCAGACAGACTTATTCGTAGTTGCATTAACATGCTTGGAGACTCTTCAACATTATTTCTACCAATCGATTTCTGTCTTGGACATAAGAAAAAAAGAAGTCTGGGCGCAAGGAAAAAGTCCGCAGAGAGCAGGACGCGTAAGAGAAGCACACTGAGATACAGTCAGTGCCCTGAATGGCTGCTCGATACAAAATGCGCTCGAAGGTCCTATTCGACTGCGCAGCTCGTTATAGGCGAAGCATTGGATATGGATGCCAAAATAATATACGCTTTCAACACCAGGAATTCTAATCTTAAGCAGGTTAGTGGCGAGGTATATGTGCTCCTGGAAATTTCTCCTGAGGAGTTAAACACAAACCAGTGGCAAATGAAAAAATTTCCGCAAGCCCGTTGGCGGGTGAGACTTGGGACCTCAGGAAAATTAGCTAATTTGCGCATCGATCAAGCAGTACTGGGTAGTACTAGTCAAGAGCACTCACTGAGTAAGGCGCCAACAGGTAATGGGGCCGAGTTAACACATGAGTGCATTATCCCAATGCCGGCTATAAGTTCTGGACTTAAAGATGTTGCTACCAAGAAAGCTCAAAGGTCGCCGGTATCTACAAGCACGGCCAAATCCGATCAGCAGTCAATTCGATCTAAAATTGCATCTGCCATTAATAATGAACCTTCTGTATCCAATACCAAATGCAGCGTAGACAGACACTTAAATTGGGGGAAAGCCCAGAACATTGGTGGCGAGCAATTCGTTAGATCTGAACATGAAGTTACAGTGGAAGGGCCTTCCATTCAGTCACTTGAAAGTTCAATTGGTAAGAACATCAGTGCAGAGCCTAAACAACGCTCATTCTCCACGCCCACAAACGGTAAGTGCTCCAAGGCCTAATTTACTAAAAAGGTTAGGAGTAGAATTTAATTTACTGAGCGACAGATTGCTTGTATCTATTTGCAAGGGTGTATATACATTTTCTTTGTTACATCAAACACTGCATGAATCCATAGCATTGAAGTCAAAAATACTAGTATTACTATTACTTTTGTCGACTAATAGACAATTCGTCACTGTTTTCAGACGTTGCTCAAGGATCCCGTTCAGTCCGTTTTTCTAGCGACACCCTGGCAGATGAGATCAATACTTCAGATACTCAGCTCGCTCATTCTTGTAGCACGCTTAGTCCGCTGCAAGAGTTTTTGCGCGAGACTGTTTCAAGGAAACCCATTAGGTCTCTGAGCAATTATCTAAGCGCCAATAACATTGAAATTCTGCATCTTGCTGGAGTGGGCGGCTTTGGCTTTGTGGTCGTAATTCGCCGCGTTAAGCCTCGAGTGGCACGGGTGCCGTCCGAGGTCAGAGTGCTTAAATTCGTGCCCATCGAAAATCTGGATCAGGATTCAAGCAATCTTCTTGTTGAAGTTCGGGTGGCTCGTCAATTGTCGAATTTGCGTAAATACGCTATTCCCGGTTTTCCAGAGTACTTTGGCTGTGAGTTCCTGCAGGGCCGGCTGCCGGATCACTTGAAAGCCCTTCTTGAAAAAATGCCTGATACGCTGTTCTTGACAGATAGCAACTTGACTCAGTGGCTTTTTATTGAAATGGAGTATGTTGGCATTAGCCTCGACTACTACAGAATATCACTCCAAGACGATTGGCAACTAGATGATTATCGGGATGCGCTGTCGATCCTTGGCCAGCTCTTAATATCTTTAGCAGGAGCTGAAAAGGCATTGAAATTTGAGCATCGTGATTGCCACTGGGGAAATATTTTGGTTAATCGTGTCGAGCCAGAAGACAGTTATATTAAGATAAACTTCGGCGACGTTACAAAAGTGTTGTGTACTCGGGGCATCCGTGTGGCTATGATCGATTTTAGCCTAGCTCGATGCGTCCTTCTTGACGAGAATAACCGTAAAAGGGTTCAATACAGCAACCTGAATGAGCGTTTCCCCGAAATATTCCAACAGTCTGGTTCACTCCAATATGATGTATATAAAGAGATGATTCAAATTATCGGAACGAACTGGGCTGGTTTCCATCCGCGTACCAACGTCCTATGGATCGAGTATCTCCTTAAAAAATTGCTAAACAGTATCAACTACAAAGCCAGGAATAAAAAGGAAACAGTTGAACGCGTGCTGATTAGACGATTTTATGAGGATCTTCGAAATCGGCCAGCAACTTCGTCTGCGGCCTGCTTACAGCGTTTTCTTCAAATCCTGTGATGTCGATGTTGCCGCTATTACCGCCATCGTCGCCGCGCAAGCTTTTCGGCTCCAAAAAGGCGTTCCGAAAAATGTGCTGCCCGACCAGCCTATCCTATGAACGCTACTTTAAGTTGAAAACTACCGAAAACTGGTGAGTCCTGCCAAGCTGGCTGATTATTCGGGGCATCTCTCCGATCCCAAGACGAAATGCTCTGGTCGCCGGTCTCACCAAGTGATAGAAATCAGTTTTATATTTTTCTTATATTTTTATTGTGACGATCCTTGGCACAAAATGCTCTAATTCCTTATTGGTTTAACGCGATTATTCATTTTCACACTAGGGAGGGCTTTAGGATATCGTAGAGACGAGTGATGTTGCCTATCAGAAAAGGCTTAACAGTTTCTGCCGCAATAAAATTCAGTTCACTGTACCGCTTATTCATTGGATTGGAGACGAAGAAATGCCATGACGCTGTTGTAAAAGGCGCATAAATTTGTTACATCCTTAAGACCAACCGAATTTTCCATAATGGACAGCTTCTGCAAGTAGTTCGCAGATATTGTCACACTTCAGTATAAAAAAAATTCATTACATTTATTGCGGCTATCTGTAGTGTCTAGTTAGGGGATTACGTAGACGATACGGATTATTTATTTTCGCAAGTCCTTAGTCATAAATTATCCTGAAAAAGCAAACTATTTAGTCCCCAATATCTAACCATAAGTGTAAACAATGTGTTCAAGTAGTCTCGGTGCCATCATACCTATCGAATTAAGAATACGCGACACGTCGGCACATAAGCACTTCGTACATTTTGTGTATGTGATAACCGTTGGTACGTTCAGTCACAGACCCCACGTGTCGAAACATAGCTCACGAAGACAGCGTATTCTATAGTACTTAATGAATTTCTTGCTTACTATATGAATAGAGCTGAAGGGATGCAATGAGCCAACTGTACGCGTAGATAACGCATAGGGACCTGGGCGTACTTCGAAAATATTCGATACAGTAAAGTATCGCCTAATGTTGATAGAGATAAGTAAAAATAAATAAAAATGTAAAACTTGTTTTTTTTTGCACATATATTATTCTCAACAGGAGAACCACAACTGCAATGTCTAATAAAACAGTCGTTCTGTTCGTTATGAGTCTTCCAATGAACGCACATTCGATCCACATGATACGGGATGTTGCCCATAACGATGGTGTAACTTCGCATTTATTCGATAATGATTCGTGACCCGGGAACAGGCTTTGGCTGTCATCGTTTTCGAAATACATTAAGAGCACACTTACATACACATACATCATGGATGAGAATTAGAATATTACATCATTTTCGTCAAATATGTTATTATTCGGGTCACTATATTATTGTCGTGTCTGTAAAATCAGTACGATGACATAACACATCCGTTCCCTGGTCTGGTTAAGATCCGCAAGCATCCTTTCGTGATCAAATGTTGGCGTTTACCTTTTACCAGGACCATTTACCGTGGATCATGGCTAAAGAAAGTCACATATCGGTCTGTTGTAACGCATTGCGTTTTTATCTAAGGTTTAGTGGGGATTATTAAGGAAACCAGTGCACAGCGTAGGTTTGGCGACGCGATCAGTTTCTACTGGGTCTTATGCTGACTGCTGTGTCGAACGCTGATTGAACGATTCGACATATAAACATTTCGGGCTGAAATAAAGAAAGTCTAGGCCCTATTATGTAGCTGTTCATCTGTTCGAGGCTGTTTTTTTTTTTTATATCAACCTCTGACACAGCATTAGAGACTGCCATCTTTTTTTTTTTTTTTTTTTTTAAAAATCTTTTTTTCTTTCAGCACTCTTCTGCATTTAGCCGTTGCTCCATTTTCACTGTTCAGTAGTTGAATTATCATATAAACACATTGATACAAGCGCGGGTGTTCCCTGAAACCTCTCAAGTATCATGTCTCTGCAAAGATCTTGTACAGTACATCGGATTAGATTAGTTAATGCATTCAATTCCAATAGCTCCTGCTGTGTTTTACAGGATATGCAAAACAGTCATCATTTTATTGACTCCATAGAAAATGTGCAACAGCTCATCAGGATGAGAACGGTTAAAACACGCACCTCACAAAATTTTCCCCGTGGAAACTTTTCATTGTATTGCTGCTATATACAATATTATGGATAACGCAGAATAGTGCGCAGATGAAGTAATCGAAGTATATTTAACGCATATATTGGGACTCTAATTAGACCGACCACAGATTGTGCTGCATACTGTATATTTAAACCCTATAGGGTTAGAATATGTCTTAACGGAGGGGTAAAATCTAAGACGTGTATCAGCTTTGTAATTTCTCTAGTAGTTGATAGATTTAAATCGTAGACAGCGTATTAACAAATGTATTTACTCAGCTTGCTTAAGATGTTATTCTGTATGACAGAGTCCGTTTAGCTTTTTGGGTCCCATGATTAGCATAGTGGCCCGTCTAGATTTCTGCGCCATCACGTGGCATCGTTTCATGAATATGGCTGTTTCTATGTGATCATTGTTTGTTATATTCTAAAATGCCTTGTCGATGTTTATTCGGGCCGTGGCGGTCGTTGTGTTATATCGTATTCTTTGCACAGTATTGTGGGAACTTCCAGGCGGAGAACGGGCGCGCAGTCTATTTGTCCGCGTGGGTCCTGGAGACGATGTGCTTTTTGAGTGTCGATTTTGCGCCCCGATAGTGATGTAGTCTAGTCTGGATGGACTTTCTTCAAGCGCAGGATGCACCAAATCGCTATCTGCGGTCAGAATTTCAAAAAGTTCAAGGGCTGTTGGTCTGTCGTCTTTCTTGAACATCCACATTCGAAGAAACAGTGCCTCTAGTTTGCTCGATACCTTTTGGGGTAATGTAGGCATACCCCCGTTACGAATGTGGTCTTGGACCTTATTATCATCTAAATCGTTATATGGATAAGCGCCAAATGTGATTATTTCGTAAAGGACAACTCCAAAACTCCAGATGTCTGACTGAATATGATAGACTCCAGTAGACAGAAGTTCAGGCGACATCCATCGTACCGGCATAGGACCAGACCGAACGATACGGTAGTAATCTGCGTCCACAAGGTTTTTACAAAAACCGAAATCAGCAATTTTGATAGTTAGCGTTTCGTGAACTAAACAGTTACGGCAAGCAAGATCGCCGTGAACGTAATTCAAACTAGCTAGGTAAGACAGGCCTCGACAAATGTCTAGCGCCATCCGGGTGAGATGTGCAGAGTGGATCTCTCCTTTGATGGCGAGGTGCCGACGGTCTTGGAGATAGCTTCTGAGATTACCAAACATCATAAATTCAGTAACAATTTGACATTTGTCATGTTGCGTAATGACTCCGATAAGACGCAATATATTCACGTGCTCAAAGCGTTTCATGACTTCTGCTTCGCTGAGCAGCTCCATTTTCGCGTTGAGATTTTTTGGATCCTTTGCCGCTTTGACAGCAACCGGAAAGACGCAATTCTCTTCTTTAAGGTATTCACCAAGGTAAACTTTACCGAAAGCGCCTTCTCCGAGCGATCGGTAGATGCGTACGCTGTCCTCCGGTAGTTCATATTCGGAAAGACCGCTGAATGGCGATATTTGTTGCTGTTCGAACCTTTTCAATTTTTGCCTATAGTAACGGTGCAGTAGACCGCCAGCTGCGAGCGACAATACAACGACCGATGTTAGCATTACGGCGACGATAAAGATAACCATCGCTACGTCACATCCCACACGATGCCCTAGGAATCCGTTAATTAACGTGAATAACGGTGACGAGCAGTTGTTTGGATAAGTGCGGGGGCTTCCATCGGTGATTGGGCCGTAACGATACACAATTCGATTCTGTTTTTCGCATTTTTTTACGTTCTTGGGCAATTTCTCCGGATCTATTTGTGAGATGAGTCCGAATTGTTCGCCCAGTGAGTCTGACCGGGTGTGGAAAAATGAATCGATGCAATTATACACACCGTCGACGTACTGGTAAATATCAATTTGCGATATTTTACGGGTATTATTTACAAAATGCACCGGTCCAGAGACTCCATTGAAAGGATTACTTCGAATGCTGTTTATCAGTTTTTTAACGTGCGTTTGATTCCGTTCTTGAAGTAAAGAGATAGTAGCCTGGTTGAGTTCCTGTAGCTCTCGTAGGCCCTTGGCTAAGGCCCAGATCGCATCGTAAGCATATCCTATGTAAGGGAGCAGGGAGAATTTTTCCAAGTATTTTTGTTTAAAGTCGGACACATTTGCAAAGCCAACTTCTGTCTTAAAGTCGTCTCCCTCTAATTCTTTGAACTGATAGGCGAACGAGTAGTTTATAGCATCATCGAGCTTTTCCACCGTGCAATTTTCCGGCAATGCCTCTAGCGAGACGTTGAACCAGTTCCTAGGCAGCCATGGGGGTAACAGCCAAGCATATTTATTACGCCAAGTCATTCCTAATTCGTAAGCCATGCACATCGTTCGAAGACCTACTGATACTTGAAAATCACCAATTAGAATTCGGTAACCTTTCTCAATTACGATTTGTAGATCGTCCCTGGGATTTTCTTTAGAACTTAACTTAACCGAAGCTTCCATTTTTAGTTGGCGGATATCGGCCATTGCACGTAGATGGGTATTCCAAGACGAAGCCGCATTATCGAAGAAGTGCGCGAATATGCCCCAGTACTGGCTTTTCATGAAGGCTATATATGCTCCGTATAGAATCGAAGGGTCGGGTGCGATACGAAAGAAATAGTTATGGCCGCTTTGATCATTCGTCGTAGCACTCTCGGTGTTATAGCTAATAACAGTGTGCGCGTAGTAGTTGGCTAGGCCGACGAGATTCTCTAGGGAACGATTACATTCTGAGCCGACGACCGCTATGATTTGCTCGTGATTTGTTGTGATCGATTCGATATAGCTACTTACGACGGTGTCGCCATTGCAATTTCCATGTATGATCGTTTGATTCATTATGTAGCCTGGAATTATGTTTGCCTCATTTATCTTGTCCATAGCTAATAGGGTGGCATGCTCGACCGAGTTTCTGTCCGCTTGTACAACTGTTAACACAGGGATTTCAGGATATACTTTTACGTTCTCCATCCATTTCCCTATATTTAGTTTATACTTGCACAAATCGCAGGCCACATCTAGAAGTCCGTCATCGTCATCGCTTAACGATTTTCGATACGCAGACATCAGGCTACGGTAGTCTCCGGCAGTGAGTCTTACGTTTTCCATGAGACGATACGCTTGCTTTGCGCCTTGCTTAATATTTTGCCATACTAGCTTGAGCATCCTTGCCGAATGATAGATACAGCCGTCAGGTTGTCCGCTCGTATCGCATGAAGGAAACAATACCTCGGTCATCTCCTCTTTGTCAAACGTCAATGGGCTTATTGAATAGTCGAAGAACACAATGCGACTATTGTTCTGGCTGAGGAAACTAATCAAGTTATCAAGGCGTTTACCGACCCATGCTACTTTAACGAAAAGTTTTAACTTCTTTATTTGCATCAACAAATCATGGTAGTTTTCGTGCGGAAAGGCAGTTAAAAGGGTTGCGCAAGTTTGATTTCGACATCTATCTGGTACGAACTGGCCTGTGTCATCGCATTCATCAAAGCCACCTAGGCGGCTACACCAACGCTTGCCAGATCCATCGGGCATGGCCGTGTACACGTTTAGCTGTGTCTCATTAAATTCAAAATTTTTAGCCAGATTTTGTCTACTAAAATATTGCCAGTGATCTGGGCCCTGACCAAATTCGGCTTCCTTTACCGTCCTAGAAGGGATAAACCAGCCGCGCCTCACGCGCGGTCCTAATTCACCGATCGAATGTACGAATCCGTTGAAGGTCGAAGTTTGATTACCAGTTTCGATGAGACCGACGTGAAGCATAGGCCGATTCGAGCAATTCGTCTCTACGGCGTTGCACGACATTTGCTTTAGCCACTCATGATAGGTATAACTAGCATTCAACAACTGAGCGTCTTTGAAGCCGACTGTATTTTTGAGCACTTGGCGAAGAACGAGGGCTAGAATACGATCTGTGGGTCGTGGACCTGCAGCAATCCAAAGGTTGGCAGATTCCTCCCCGATGAATATGCGATTGTGAATTTTTAGTTCCGGCTGTGGCCCACTGCCACTCGATACAGGCCAACATGTGCACTCATTTATAGCCGTTATTTGATTTATCCCGATACAATGAAGTAACAGTAACACCGATTCTGTAATAGGAAGAGAATACGGTATTATATAACGAATATGTATACGAAATAGAATAAACTGTGCTATATTTACACAAATAATGACTAGTTATTTGCTCTTGCGGTTACGCTGTAATACGCGGATTAACGTGCTCACACCCTCTAACCCGAAACGAGCCGTCGACCGAAGAGCAAGCGTTGGATAGTGGCCCATTCTTGTCTAACCGTACGTTGTATAACAAACGGCGAGATAATGGACACAGACAATGTTAGATTTGTCACAAAAAACAGAAATAGAAACCGTGGTATTCAGTGATGGGAAGTATCGAAAGAAATTTTAGAAATAAATGAGCCTAGTACCTTTTCACATATTTCCTACTGCTTTTTAAGTACCTTGATTTTTTTTTTTTGGTAGGTTCCACTAACTACAATTCATCGTAATGGAAACGTCCCCTTTATTATCATAAAAAGTAATATAAGATCATTGGGATCGGCTTGATCGTGCAGAGTCCAACGAGCAATCTCAAACGGCTGATTTTTTTTTTTACTAATATTACAGAGGTTGTTAAGGAGATTTGTCCCACCGGTTGACCCCTCTAAATCAGATTCAATACTCCTTTGACACACAGTAATGCTAGCGGGAACGGTTTAATTATGAGAATAGTTATATCGCCAGAGAGGATCTTTTACATTTCGGAACTTTAGGAATAAAATAATGTTTTCCCCTATAAAGTTCACACACGAGCACGACCTGTCTACTTATTTCTATATGTATACATATATATATATATATACGACTCACTTCATATAACAGAATATATTCGCCGTAAATAAAATGACTTTCAGGATATGGTTAGATAAAGGCGAGGTGGCCTTGCTAACGCGCACAATTCCTGGATGAGGGTCTCGTTTTTACTAACGGTTTCACCTATATACATATGTGTATCGACAGAAACCTAATTCAGTATCCGAAATGTTCGCTGAGCTCTCAGGATTATTTCATGACCTATTGTTCTCGGAAATGCATGCTTTTATTTTGGATATGAATAATCAGAGATTTTAAATGAGGATAATTTGTTCAGTTATCAATGTATTAACTGTTAATGGCTTTTTTTAATTCCGAAAAGCGTTTTGGTGCCTTTCCTTTAATGTTTATGTCTTCTTTCTTGTTTTGTTTTCATAACGTTTCAACAACGATTTCTTTTTAACTACCGCGGAACTCAGAATCCCAAGTTGAATGAAAGCGAGAGATGATGCCGAAAAAAATGTTCTGTTGAACAGTCAGCTTCTTAATACCTGTCGATGATTGTCGTACCGATCAGGTAGATCCGTGATATACGCCAACGCGTCGCATACTATACAACAAATGTCATCAACAGAAAACATTATTTATTCTAAAAGATTCTAGTAGAAGACAAGTATTTAAATGTTTGTTTTAAAAGTTAAGATTCCTACTTGTTTCCTCGCCTTTAATCCACAAAATTTCGATTTCAGAGCAAAACTGTAAACCTTTGTTCGTCTACACTAGTCTCCAAGAAGACAGGAGAACGACACCGCTTCCTTCGTCGGCTTAAGCTGAACTGAAAAATCTTGTCCGAGCAGAGTTTGAACTCGGTCTACCGTTTTCAATAAGTGACATGGTAACAGTAAAAGCTCAGTTTCTTTATTGATTTCGTATTTCTCGTGTTTCTCCAGCCAAACCAGCTCTAAGCCGGACTAAGGATTAGGGACAAGGACTAAGGACTAAGCATGATGCCTGCCGAATGTCAACAGAGATGTTTAGGACTGTCTGATTTTGATTTTCCCGTGTAAGGACGAACCCCAATAGTCACACCCAGTTCAACCTAAGAATACTGGTATCCTCTTAAAAGCTCATCACAGAAGTTGAAATTCACAATACATATAGAGGGACATAACGAATGTATACAAGGACCTAACGTTGAGCGCTTTAGAACTTAGTTACGAGAAGTGGCTTCCATATAAACTATTTTAATGCGTATTGGGTATGTATTCATTCCCAACTTGTGCTAGTTTCTATGTGAAAATACGTACAACGGAAAAGCAGTTGAGTTGAATTTTAATACTTCATCTGCGTATCGTCACTGTTTAAAGTATCGCAAAATGTAAATGTTTCATAATGTAAAAAAACTTTTCCTTGCAATCGACGGCCAGCTTTCTTACAGGCCAATACAACACATGACCTTCCGAACTAGATCTCATAAACTTAAGTCAGTCTTCCCTGAACCGCACTTAGGATCGACCCTATAGCGATGTGTGTAAAGAAACATTACTACCTCCACTCGTATGTTTAGTGCTATATTTACAAGTCGGTATCTCGATATTTGATAACTTCATCCCAAAGCAGGATTCGTATTCACTAATAGTTCTATTGGTTAAAAGCTGTATACATTTTGAACAACAAAAAATACTTCTAATTTTTCTAACAAAAATTATTCTAGAATTTGCGAAGGAAGGGTCCACGACCATCCGCATTGCATACGTAAATTAATGACAAGTTTAATTTGATAACAATTTTCCTAACTAATATCCCAAAAGCGGGACCATTGTGCGAAGAACTTCGTGCCATTAAAGTTTACTGTAAAAACGATACTTATTCGACTTATTTGCATAACAATATTCCTAAGATCGTTCCTTTTCTATATGAAACTTCCGAGAGACAACGAGAGACACGAGTACGTTGTAGAAAGGTGCTCGTGCCGTCTGCGCCATATGTTTTAAGGTGCTGAACCATCTAAGATGGTAACCTTTAATAATTTGTTCGGATTTAAAGTTGATGTTTAAATGACAGATTGAATAAGGCTCTTCTGTCCCAACTTGTAGTGCGATTTAGGTGTGCTGCAGTGTCCTTCAGGCCAAAGCTCATTTAGGGATATGTACATCAACCGAAATAGTGCGGATTTACTGTAAGGAATTGTGTTTAAATAGGTCGCGTTATGAATAAATTACCTGTTATTACCAAATTATACAGCCCTATCTGGACTCACCAATTATGGCTCGAAAACCTTTTCCATTACATCGTTCAATTTACCCGAAATAATTTGCCCAGAAAAGTGTTAACTCTTTGCTAAAATATAAAGTATTAACAAAAAGAGCCATTGTCCTTAAATGGAAATATTTATTATAGATTTGCGACGCCGCTTGTTCTTCTGACAATGGTACTTGTGCATGTAAATTTTGGTAAATATACAGTCGATTTTGAAAGACCATTTTTATCTGAAAATGGCTAATTATAATGTTTGTGACTTTTTTAAAATAGCTTACACACTCGTTCAGTCTATTAATAAGAAGAAGTCGTCGCACTGTAGAACGAAAGTAGGAGAGGAGGGGCAGAAAGGAAAAAACAAACATTCCACATGTTGTTTTCATGAAGTTTGGTTAAAGGCTTTGTGAGGACAAAACGGCAATTGCCCATGTGCCGTTTTTAGCGGACTATTTGATAGCTACCCTGTTACGATGGCAGCGTGTCATGGTATGCCTACGAACAGGTCAAGCGATAGCGTTCAGACATATTCCTTGTGCTGCACTATAAGCACTTCATGCAAAGGATAATCGTTTTCTGGATCTGTTGGTCCACATACTATTAAGCCCTGATATTGAGGACCTTGTGTGTCTCAGTGTTGACAAAGACGAACCTCGATGAGCGTTTTTCATATAAAAGATGTACCAGTTCTGGGTCCGTGATCACGATCCCAAACAAATCAAAAGCAGTAAACCTATTGTCCTTAGTCGATTGGGATAAAACGGTAATTCGCTTAACACCTTTTGAAGCAACGTAAAAAAAGCCTCCTCTTCGAATGCAGCTTTGAACCTAGTGATCATCCGACACACCGTCTGAATAGACTCTAAATGTGATTACTTGGTATAGGACAACGCCAAAACTACAGACGTCTGACTGCACGTGAGAGAGCGCAGTGGAAAGTAGTTCAGGCGGCAAGAGACTGGCAAGATTCTTGCAGAATCTAAAATCTACAATTTTAATCGTAGAAGTTTCGTTGCCACGGACATAATTGAAATTAGCGAGACAGTGTAGCTCCCGACTAACATCCAATGTCAGTCAAGTGAAATCCATCATATCGATAATTCTTTTGTGCGCGGTATGGTCTTGGAGACAGCACCTGAGATTACCAAAACATCATGAATTCAGTAATAATTTAACATTTGAGTAATGACTCCGATAAGAAGCAACATATTCGCGTGCTCAAAGCGTTTTATGACCTTTGCTTCGCGGAGCAGCTCCATCTTTGCGTTGAGATTTTTTGGATTTCTGCTGCTTTGACAGCAACTGGACAGAAGCAATTCTCTTCTTTAAGGTAAACTTTACTGAAAGCGCCTTTTCCGGGCGACCAGTAGGTGCGTAAGCTGTCCTCTGGCAGTTCATACTTGGAAAGGAAGGCTGCTGATGGATATGATTGATACTAGCGCAAAGGCAACGATAAAGGTAGTCGTAGCTATTTCGTAGTCTAGATTGAGAGAATTTCTTCGAACATTATCGGGCAGTTTTTCGATGCCCCAATTCAAGTCCTATGCCACCATAATTTTTCTCAATAGCGATCGTGAACAACGTTTGTTCCACCTTACTGCGCAACAAATTTCGTTGATTCTTCGGTTGGGCGCGGTAGCTCTCGGCAGTATAATAGTATAAATATACTGCCGAGGATATGCCATTGTCATTCATAGAGCGAACGTAACCCCTTCGTTTCTTACTTCGTCAATTAATCTTGCACACATGTTTTTTGCAATTCTGTGCTTAGTTAGCTGATCTTTAACGTTTGAAACTCCACAAGGTTGCCATTAGGACAGTACATTCAATTGAAATAAAGCTCGTGAACTATACAAACAGTATGTAAATCAAAATGGGTGCCTTAGCTACTGAAAAGGTTAAGGTCCGCGCCTTTATTACTCGTATAAAAAGTATTGCTGCTGTGATAAGTACTCTACTACATCTATCATTGCAATTGTCGTGACAGTCTTTGCCTAACGAGCCTAGGTTGTCTCTGTTT